GATTTCTGTTTTAGATTGTATAGAATTCATCCATCAGGGATACAACGCTGGTGTTTATTATGTTGCATTATTATGCAATCAAGTGAAACTTGATAGGCTACACTGATTGTGTTATATTAGCTTGCATTTGAAACAATCAGGCTGATTAAATATTCCTGTGGGCTGTGAAAGCTTTTGTGGTTGGTTGTGTGGGTTGTGAGTTGCAAAAGGTTTAAGGTCTGAATTCCTGGATTAGGATAAATACTTATAGAAGACTGAACAACTGCATGCATCATAAAAAAAAGAGAGATTTAGTCCAATTATGAGCCTGTAAACAAGCAGTTTATGGTAATTAGCGATTTGCATAAGAGCCATTATATGTAACATTACCTCATTCTTCTCAACTGACCCAGGAGGTCCACCGTCCCTCCCAGGTGCTAGAATGGGATGGGACAAGTTAGGCCCTCCTGAGCTGTTCATTCTCTCTTCTTGTGTGTGTGACCTGAAGGTACAATAGAAGCACAGGAAACATCGCTCAACACAAAACGATGTTTACCTCGTCAGCATTTTCAAAACTTTTTTCTATGTCCTTTAACGAGACATGTAATGTCACAAACAATTGTAGAGGTGGCTGTAGAGCTACGCTCAGGAGAAGGGCAGCGCCTGTAGCTCTTGGGTACCAAATCAACATTCCATGATGCCCTGCCCTGCACAAACTAGAAAAGCTAGTAGAGCCAGGCTTTATTTAAGTAGATGTAACAGGATTAGTGGGATTTAGCTTGGCAAAATGTTCAGTTTCACCGCTTAGACTGATGTCTCTGACCAGAGTGTGCACTCACTGATTGCTCTGAGTCACACACAGTTTACAGTTACATGCAATAAATACAATATGCAGTTCAGGATGGGGCCCAGCTGACATACTGTTTGGTCACAAAATCAGCCAAGATTAAATAATTAAGGACCTATCAGAATCAGTGAAAATCCAGACAATAAAACACAGAAAATGTGACTTTAAATGTTAAATAAGAACATTGTACTCAGGAATGTGACACTATATTGAAAAACAAGTGTCCTATCTTGTGTTAAAGGAATGTTTGAGAGCTCAACACCGTGATTCTTCATAATATCTACCTGTCTTAAGGTCACGTTTTAAAGTTAGGGCTATTAAAAGCTTGTTTCCCCATTACTGTTATTTAGTTATGTTTGACAATACTGACAGTCGTCATTGTCATTGAAGCTACCAAAACTATAGGAGTCTGTTTAATTTGACCGTGCAAGAACATAAACAGCCAATATTATCAGTTGGAATTTTCAGGCTCCTCAAAGGGCTCATATCCTACATTTTTCTTGTATTTTATTTTTCCCCTCAAGGCTTACCTATAACATTTGTGTGGTTTTATGCAACAAAAAAAATGTCATAATTCATTTTTGCATACATTTTCCTATCTTTCTTTTTAATTAAACAGGTTGTTTTTGTTACTGTGCCTTTATGACTTATATATGTAAATGATCTCTGTTCTGATTGGCTGCCCTGTATTGTGCCTCATTCCAATAGCAATAGGAAACACTCCTTAGAAAGTTATTTTTAACGGCTTGTTTTTGCAGCTTACTTTCCATTTACACACTGCATGGACTGAAGAGTAAATTTACATTTTACACCTCTATAAAATTTACATACTACTTCAAACTCTTTATTTCATATTGAGGGAAATTCAGTTTTCCATAATACGGGCCCTTTAAGGTTAGGTTTTTTAGAAGTGCTGTGTGTTCTACTTGTGAATTTTGACAGTCATAATATAAATGACATAATTTGAGTCTGTTATAATTTTTGATCGTACCAAATCCAAATCAACCATTATTATTAATTATCTGAATTTTTAGGTACATCTAAAAAAATAAAATAAATAAGCTGGGATATTAGATACAAGACTAATAGTTCTCCACAGTTGGTGCTGACAGTATAACCCACAGTGCACTACCAACAACAGCAACATCAAGCTCGTTGTTACTCAACCAGCAACCACAAAGGCACTGTACCTCTCTGGTGATTCTGTGAAGATGTTATTGTCCAATACACTGCGACTGGCGTTCGAGCCGAAGTTTGCAAACGAGTGCGACATTGCTGCAGCCTTTCCGCCAACCTCAGCGCTCTTCTTCTCTTTCCCCGCCAGGCCGTGAGACAGGCCATCCAGCGCAGGGTTGAGCGAGCGTGACATGTATGTATCGGCTGACTGCGGGCGTCTGAGGGGTGAGGCTGGACATGGAGACAGTTTGGTAAGGAGTGGTGTAAGCAGGTCGGCGTGACCCGTGCGCGGTGGCTTCACAAGCCGGTCCACGTGAATGTTGAGGGTCTTTTGCTCAAAGGCGCATGCAAAAACAGAGGGCGAGAGGTTCTGGAGCCAGGACAGCAGGCTCAGGTCCAGCTCGTCACAGCCATTGCCGCACAGCACATCCACAGCCAGCAGCACCTCACCCTCACCGATCTCCTCGCCTGTGGCCTTGCTCTGACAGAACTCTACGCAGCACTCGTACAGGATGCCCTTGATGAGGAGCTGGAAGAGGCGGTCACCGCTGGCCTTAAAGCCTGCTTCACTCAGTTTGCGGTCAGCTGGGATGAACTCTGCCACCATGGCGCAGGCCTCCTCGAAGCAATGCACTCGGGCCGTGCTCGGGTTCCACTCCTTGAACTCGGCGTGGTGGGTGAGCCGAGGGAGGGTGAGCAGCAGGCACAGCTTGCTGTAGTCTTCTTTTGAGGGGCTGTACTCCTCCAGAGCATGCAGGGACTTCACCGCCTCTTGCATGGTCAGCTCCAGCTGAGGAAGAGAGAGAGATTAAATGACATCTTGTCTTTCAATCAGAGCAGCCCATGTTAAATCCTTTCTTTGAGTTTATTAATTACAGGCACTGGGAGCTAGCCAACATCATTAATGCTACACTGTAAATTGATTAAATGATTAAAGTTGTGGTTCTCAAACTGGTCCTCAGTGTCTCCCAGATGGTCCACACTTTCACTCTATAACCCTGTGTTGGACTGTCTAGGCCCCTTAAGAATCTAGAATCAATGGGCTAAAGCAACAAATTGGTGAAATTAACCAAATAATGGAAGCTTATATTTTACCAGTTGGCACTTTGGAAACTTAAGTTCCAGTCCTAGCCTTCCCTAAGCAAAACCTGACTTGGCGGTTTCCTCACCTAAACCATATATGTTCATGCTAAGGCTTGGCAATATGACAATATATAAAATTATTGTGACAAATTATATCACAATACAATACAATATGCTTTTCTGAACATACTGTGCATATAGTCAGTACTTATAGAACACTGACCAACTGCCTGATTCATTATAAAGAGAGCAAAATTAGTCCCGTTTAACTGGATTTAGTGCAACATAGTATAAAATATGATGTGTTTTTTTAAACGTAGCATTATCATTTTTTTCTCTGTTCCAACAGATGTCTGAAAAAATAAACATCATGACATATCATGTATCAGAAAAATCTCGCCCATCTCTGTTTCATCCTCTGCCAAAGTACTGTTAAACTTTCATACATGCCTTTTAAATCTCCTTACAACCACGATGTTAACTCAGTAGTTACGCTATTATATTTTTTAAAAATTGTATTAAACTTTTCTACATGGGACATCTGTGAACTGAGAATGGTATTAATGAGATTAAACCTGAAGTTTGCACATTTCACTCAGCCCCCTCCAAAAAAGACAAGATAAATGCACTGTAGATCTACTGGAAGGTGCCACACATTCAGGAAGAAATCAACAGGAGAACCACATTTTACAGTAAATCACCAAAGGTCTGCCCATTTAAGAAACCTGTCTGCTGATGTAGCATCTAACAACATACAGCACATTCCTAGTTTACTGTAGCTTTGTTTTTTGCTGTGCCACTATAGCATGTATGAAGCTTAGTTTAGTGGGGCATGAAGATTGATTAGTGGGGCACTGACCAAATAAATTTCCCCTGAAACCGAGCCTGCTCTGAAGCCATCCTGTCAAGTCTGCTGCACCAACTACACTATATGGACAAAAGTACTGGGACACCTCTTAATTATTGAGCTTAGTTGTTTCGGCCACACCCATTGCTAAAAGTTGGATAAAATTAAGCACATAGCCTTGCAGCCTTGATAGACAAACACTGGCAGTACAATGGGTCGTACTGAAGAGCTCAGTGATTTTAAACATGGCACTGTCATAGGGTGCCACATTCGCCACAAGTCAGTTTGTGAAATTTCTGTCCTGCTAGATCCGCCCCGGTCAACTGTAAGTGCTATTATTGTGTAATGGAAGCACTTAGGAGCAACACCAGCTTAGCCACAAAGCGGAAGACCACAAAAACTCAGAGTGGGGCTGCCGAGTGCTGAAGCACACAGTGCCTATCCTCTGTTTAATCACTCACTAATGAGTTCCAAATTGCCTCTTGAAGCAACAACAGCAAAAGAACTGCATGTTAGGAGCTTCACAAAATGGGTTTTCATGGCCAAACAGTTGTGCACAAGCATAAGATCGAAATGCATAATGCTAAGCGTTGGGGAGAGTGGTGTAAATCACACCGCCACTGAACTCTGGAGCAGTGGAAACGTATTCTGTGGAGTGTCACCTTAGGAGAACGTTACCTGCCTGACTGCATTGTACCAAGTATAAAGTTTGGTGGAGGAGGGATAATGCTATTGGGTTGTTTTTTCAGGGGTTGGCCTAGACCCTTTATATCCAGTAAAGGGAAATCTTAAAGCCTCAGCAAACCAAGACATTCTGGACAACTGACTGCTTCTAGGCTCTTTTCTGTTCCAGCATGTCCCCAAGGTCCATAAAGGCATGGCTGAGTAAGTTTGGTGTGGAAGGATTTGACTGGCCCACAAAGAGCCCTGACCTTAACCCAATCGAACACTTTTAGGATGAACTAGAACGGAGATTGCCAGGCCCTCTCGTCCAACATCAGCGTCTGACCTCACAAATGCTTTTCTGGATAAATGGGCAAAAATTCCCACAGAAACATTCCAAAATCGTGTAGAAAGCTTCCTAAAAGAGTGGAAGCTGTTATAGCTGCAAAGTGGGGACCAGCTCTATATTAATGCCTATGGATTTAGAATGGCATGTCAAAAGCTCCTGTAGGTGTAATGTGTTGGTGTCCCAATACTTTGTTCATACAGTGTATGTCTGTACAGATAACAGAAAAATAGCCTATTGATTACGCTTGACTTGAACATCACAAATTATTTAGGCATACTGGGATGCCCTGCACTTTGTAGAAATGTACAATATGCATTTCTAAGAAGAAGCTATAAAATATGCAGGCATACTTGTCATGAAGGGCCCCTTTCAGATGTGTGCCCTATGCAACTTGCGTAGTTTGTGTATAGGAAGAATCTGTCCAGGCAAACTACCTAATTCATCATACACAATATGACATACTGTTGTGTAATGTATAAAAATGGACAAGGGTGGGAGGGTGAAGGCCAGCATGAGCTTCCTCCAAGACCTGTGAAGCACCACCACGTCTTTTCAAACTGACATTAACAATGTCAGTGGACAGCTCAAAGCGCTTGGAGAAGAATGCAAACAACCAGTTACATTACATCAGCTAACAGATGCCGGCGTTAGCTAGCGTCACTCTCAGTGATGGAGGGCCATCCAGAAAACGCAAGGCCAATTATGCTCCTCTGGACTCTTGACCACTGATGGATGTAGCTTCTATGATCTGATAGCAACATTAGCCTCACAGAACCAGAGAAATATATAGAATGTCATTCACTGAACTTGTCTTGGCTGATGGACTACAATTGGGAAAAAGTATTTCAACAAATCTTCACATTACAAAGAAATGCCCATATTTCCTTTCACGCTGTATACTTGCACAGAATGTCTAGTCAGGACTGCACATTCATGTCAGATCACAGTCTTAAGGCTTTTCACATCTGACTCCTCAAGCACATAAGCTGCTGCAGTGAGATTATTCCCCCTGACACATGCAGAAACTCACATTTTGAGGATCCTCGGTTGCAGACATAGCATTATTCACACAAAGAGCTTCCAGAAACTTCTGTTTGAGAATGATGTAACGAAACCTTTTGAGGGAAAAAAAACAGAATATCAGAATAACCAATAAGACCACCGAGCAATGAACCAGAGAATGGTGCAGAGGCACTCGGACTGGAACCTCTTGTGCACCAGTGCATAGACTAAATGAATCTCCTTCACCTCTTTCTGTCAAATTTGTCCATGCACTCCAATGGCTGAATGAACTGAAGAACTTCCTCCCATTGGCCATCTAATATCAGTTGTCTTGGAGAGAAAAAAATAATAAATTAGCAAATTAGAGCACAAACACTGTAAAAATCAATCATACTTGTCTAGGCACTCAATCACTAAAAGTATAATAAAAAATCTCAACAAATGTGTGGGCCAGAAAACATTTTGCTATAACCCAAACTGGCCATTGTTTGCTTCAAATACACCAAAATGTCAACACCAAAATATAGGCAGCTGTAGCTGGTATGAGTGGATCAGACACAGCAGTGTCTCTGCTGGACTAAGAATAGTCCACCAATCAAAAATATTCAGCCAACAGCATCCTTTGGGCAGCATCTTGGAGGTCCTGACCAATGAAGAACAGGGGGCTAACAAAGTATACAGAGAAGCAAATGAACTACATTCTGTTATTGTAGATATACAAGGTGCCCCTATACGGTAAGTGTAGCTGATAAGGACAAAAAATGTACATACAAGGAGGTGTTACGTGCTCAATGAGCATATATACACACATACATTAGCTACAGAAAACTTAAACCTCTTTAAATGTCCCCAGGGTCTAGGTAGACACCTACCACAGATCCTTTGCTGCAGTTTCATTCATTCCTGGGATCAATTTCTGAGCTGCTGAGCAAAGTGTTTATATAGGTTGAACTGCAGCAGAAATACAACTAGTGTGTTTGGTGACTGGTGTCCCAGAGATTGTTGTTGGGGGAGGGATAATAATTTCACAGGCTAGACAGGACTGTGCTGTGGGCCTGACCTGTGGGCCTTGTGTTTGAATTATGGGGTCTACGTGGCATCTCCGAAGTTAACAGGCAGGTTATAGAGAAGATAAATCAGGCATCAAAGCATTTTCTTTGCATTAGCGAACCATCAGAAACAATCTCAATAAGATTTAGAGAAATAGGTGCTGGCAACAGTGCTAACAGCATGAAACCCACCTGAGGAAGAGCATATCGTCTGAGTAGAGGCCATTAATGATGCCACTCTCCTTCTCCAGGGCTAACATGCTGATGTGGAGCTTTCGGGAGTTGAGGAAATCCAGGATGAGTTTGAGGATTTCTACCTCCTTGATGTTAATTGTCTCCTCTGCAGTCATGTTTTTCCAATTCCTACAGAACTGCATAAGACGTCACATAAAATTAACACATGGCATACATACATACACACATATACATATATATATACACACATATACATATATATACACACATATACATATATATACACACATATACATATATATATATACACACATATACATATATATACACACATATACATATATACACACATATACATATATATATATATATATATATACATATACATATATATATATATATATATATATATATATACATACACACACACACACACACACACACACACACACACACACACACACACACATATATGAAAATATACCCAGTCTTCACTAACAAGCTTACTGAAACTTGCATCTTCATTATACTCTACGAGCTTTCCTTTTGAGATAAGCAAACAGTCTCTTCTTTCCGTTGACTTGTTCTGATTTTTGTCACTTCTTATTCAGGGTGAATTAACTGGACAGGCGACAACATTTTAGAGGATTCTTCCAGTAGCATATTGGAAAGTGTAAAAAGAAATTATAAACACTAAGAGGTCGGCTATAAACTGGCTACCACTCAGACTACATGGCCTATACCCGAAAAACACCCAAAACAAGCAGAACTCTGCTAAACTGGACTGTCTTGACTTAACATATGCACCTCAAATTCCCATATAGCCAGGTTTCCTGACCTCAATTATAACGGCACAGTAGGCTGTACAACAAAACAAGGCACCTGTTTTGGCCTGTATGGGATGCAGAATTTTTCAAACAATCCAACGTAACACTGTCCTCCTTGATAAGGACCTTTGTTAGCTTTAGTAGTCGTAAAATAGCTCTAGGCACGTTATAGTTTATCCTATTTACTCGTTGTTTACATATCGTATTTACTCGCCAGTCTGTACTAACTAGAGGAATCCATGCCTCTATAAGATGTACCATGTCCTTTCATCCTCCGTAGTGGCAACAATCTTGACAAGAAAGACATCAAAACAAAGGAAACTATTAACTCAGCTGCAGAAATGGGAAACTTCTTTCACAGCAGCTAGCAGCTTGCACCGTTTTGAACACACTCTACGCAGGCAGCTGCAGCAGACCCCAGGCATCAGGTTTCTTAAAGCCTGCAGAGCATCTTGTGGGCAGTGTCACAGTCCTATTTTCTGTAGCCGGGCAGTAAAAGCGGAGATACGAGCCGCTTCCCAAACAGAAACACAAAGAGAAACCTGCTATGATTCACCATGACGTTAGCTAACTTTCACTGTGCACAGTCTGCACCCCAGCTAGTCTGTTTAATGCTGGCGGCTTAGCTCATACTGTCTGACTCCGGCTAGCTTTAACAGCATGTTTACTATCCATCATCAGTCGTGTTTCAGTTGAGCTATCATTAAAAAAAAACCTTACCTGTAGAAAAAAACAACGTTGATTTAATCCTCCGCGTGCGCCGCAGCCTGTATTTATGCGAGCTCAGCGTTCTCCTGCAGCGTTGCGAGCGCGTTCACCGTGGCAACGCCCCACCCACCCAGTGTCGCGCGCACCAGCTGCTAGTGATGGGGAAGTTCGATTCAGGTAAGCGAATCGATTCCTTCGATTCAGTTCTGTTCAATTAGGTTCAGTTTTACGCATGCAACTCGGTTTACGCCAAGTATCGTCACCAAGCAGCTTTACACGAACGAGACTGAAGTTGGCTTCTTATTTGTTATTAAGGGAATGTGATATTGCAAAATTTCTCATAATTCAGCCTTTAGAGACCTGCAAATGTAGGGTGATCAGTTCATAGCAAATAAGCACTGCTTGGCTATTCGCTTTTCTCTTATTTACTTACTGTATTTTACGTAGTTATAAAATACGTCATAAATAATCTGAAATATAAATGTATTTGTTTTCTTTTTCATTTACATAGGACTTTGATTCTCAGTGTTAAAGGGAAATCCTGCCAGTTTTTCAAAAATTCTAAATAATTCAGTCCTTGAGACTGAATTATTGAACCATTTTACAGAATTTCACATCACATTTCAACGTGAAATGGTTCGCTGTAGAGAAACTACAGACTGATTTGTGGTGGTGATAGGAACCAGGGGACACGATATCTACAAGACAAATATAGCCACTTTATTTACTATTCAGAACCACCAGTGAACCTACTCGTCTTCTGAGTTTTATGTGTAATGTTTATGATGATAAATAAGTTTTATTTTAAAAAATAAGTTTAATTTTTTGGGGAGTATTATTTTGCCTTATAACGCCCTGTATGTACCCCTGCACTATGAATGGATTAAAATACATTTTAAGCCAAAACTTTATTACAAAATATAATTAAACAATGTGTCAGACATCAGGTTGCGTGTATCTAACCATTTCATGTAATAACTTTTAGTGGAGGAGCTTTCAGAGGCACTAAACTCTTCAGACGTCTGGTTCCTATCACCTACACTGTGGACAATTCCAACTTGGCGAGTTTCTCTAGAATAGAGCATTTAATATCAAACCACTCTGAATGACTTTATTTAAATTTCCATTTAATTATTTAGAATTTTTGAAAAATCCCCTTTAAGAAGGCCACATGTCAGAATGCTGCACCATTTAAGGTGGAATGGGAAATAAGAAGCAAACTTAAGCCTCGTTGTGCACAAATCCAAACTGAGTGGCAGAAAGCTCCTGAGACTCAGTGTGAAAACTGAGAGGAATCAGGGCCCTCATGCATAAACTGTACTTTAATTTATTGTACATTCTTGGCCCCATATAATGGGAACCTGAATCTCCCTTGCTTTTTAAATTTTTTTTGGCCTACAGTGGTTTAGCCCCGCCCCCTTCATGAAGTTCTAAAGAGTGTTTCAGCTCTGAGTGCTTTTTTGATGAGAGGTAATACAGGACATCCAATCAGAACAGAGCTCATTTATTACATAACAGTCTTGAAGGTACAGTAACAAAAACAGCATGATTAATTCTAAGGGATAAAGAGAGGTTGGAAAATGGTCTCGTAAAAAATAATTATTTCCATTCTTGGTACAGAAAACCACACAAATGCTGTAAGTAGACCTCAAGGGAAAAATGAAAAGTTAATATGCTGAGATGTTATGTTACTGTGAAAATTATATTTAAGTCATGAATCTATAAGATGGACATAAGTATTGTATGGATGCTTTTTTGTATATAAAAAGTATAAAAAGTAAACTTACGATATTATGCTGTCTGATAGGGAAAAACAAATTCATGGAAAGGTCATTGTTTAGCCGCCCTCGCTCAGGAATCAGCGAGCTTCTGTTGCAAATCGGTTGATACATGCTCCTTGGATCCATGGTATTCAGGGGGTCCCATGTTGGCCGGCTACTCCACCATTGGCTGGCTGCTAGGTTAACTAATTAGCCATAGCAGCACTAATGCTAGCTTCAATGGCAACAAAATGTTGACAAATGGAGGACCATACTTATTACTTAGCACAAGGGAGGGTGAATTCTCATTGTCTAAGAAGTGAAAACATGAAAGCTACCGTAGGTTCTACTACACACTTGTATTTGATTGGTTGCAATCTGCTACCTCACTACTAGATACCACTAAATCTTAGACACTGCACCTTTCAGAGTTTTCTTGTCTTTTCCAGCTAGAATTAAAATCAACTGGCATTTTTCTACATGCAACAAAGCATGGCTGTCTGGAAGCATTTACACTTCCTTTAATTTGCCACTCATTTGTAATTGCGTTGGTTTTCATGACATCCCAAAAACAATACAGGTATGGATTGTTTGGACTGCGGAGTGAATGGTATGTTTTGGACATTTACCAGTGTTTCCATACTACTTCATACTCTTTTATTTAAAAAATCCAGTTTTCCATGATTGGGATCTTGCAGAATCGTGTTTTGGAGCAAAACATTTACCACAAAGCATTTGAGACCATGCGAAATTTTATTCAATGCAATATAAAGCAAACATGGTATGCTACTTCAACAAGTTAGCTATGACAGCAGTGTCTTTAAGAAAGGAACAAAAATGAGGCTTCCTTACAATGGGCTGATGAGCTCACACTGCACACTGTACAATATTAAACCGTGCTCATTTACAAATACGTAGCCAGTTCTTGGCTTGAAACAGCCAATTTAAGTCACTACAACGACCTTTTAAAAAAGTTTTTTTGTCCCCCAGATGCTGTTTATAACAGGCCTGTACAGTTTTCCCTTCAGAAACACAACATTTCAGCAATCCAACATTGTAAATAAATGGAGCACAGCTGTGTGTGTTTGTTGATGATTGTGGAAAGGAAAATCTGGAACATGCTAAGGGACTCAAAGAGAGCCTGGATATAGAATGGGCTTTAATTAAACTGAAAGAAGGCATGTGTTCATGTCAAACACAGTAAGCCTCGACCCGTAACTAGCCACATTCTGCCTTATGACCCAATGAGCACGATGCTACTACATGTTTACCACTGAAATAACAGCCACAAACATCAGGCAGTAGAATATGGAATATCTGTGGTAGGGGTTTCTGACATCCCAAGCCAAAATACAAGTTAATTATGAACAAGAGCATTAATCCTCAGTCTAAACCATGCAGTAAGAATAAAAATGTCATTTGGCACATTGCTTTTTGAGATTTCGGCTTGATTTGTGACAGCGAAGGAGAATACTGTCTTAATCTGTCTCGATCGTACATGGAAAAATTCATTCTGGAAATCGTAATGTCTGTTGCAGAATCAACAAATCATTCACCAAGCACAAACGAGAAAACTAAGATGGGAATGACTGGTACAATGACTTCTCAGTATCGATTCAGTTCATCTGCTGAAGCTGACATGGAAATATCACTGATACATAATTCAATATAGCATTATCAAATATTAGCTAGCTTGATTTTCACAACCTACAATCACGTAATAATGCAAGAGGAGTTTGGTCTTCTAAACCACCATCCTATCGTTAATGACACATTGATTTAAACAGATCATGGTTTTGAATTTAAAACAATTCCTCTGGTCTGTCAAATAACTGGAAATAATAATAATAATAATAATAATAATAAAATTTCAATGATAAACACGTATTTGCACTGGAAGAATTCACAATCCTGCTGTGAACCAAAGCCATTTAAGCAGAATAAGTAGTTTAAAACGCAAGAGATGGGGGTGATTCTCTATGCAAGCAAAAATATTAGACATATTACCACACTGATTTGGTATAATGCACAGATACAGCATTGCTTGCCCAGAGGAGTCCCCCCCTAGTAGAACAGGGTCTAACAAAACCATTTCAATGGTAACTGTCTCTCATTAAGCAGCCTTACAATCACTTCAGTACACTACTAAAAATAAAAAAAAAACCTCAAATGAAAAGAAATAAAACACTTCCAACATAAGGCCACATGTCAACATATGTATATGCAAAAGTTTTCTTTATACAGACGAATGACATTCAGTGCTTCAGTGTACCAAATAAGAGCCATACTACTTCATTTCATCATTAACCACTGTTTTGGCACATACAAAATAACCACACACGCACTCACCCACCCAACTTGCTTTAAAAGAACTCCAATGAGACAGTCAGGTTATAAATACAGATGTGAGAGCCGCTGACAAGCCCATAGTGTTGTACATTCCAGTTGTGCATAAATATTCTTTTAGCAAAATTGTGTTTCCTGGTTGGATTCAGTGGAGACCGTGGGTAGTGGTCCATGAAGAAGAAGCGCAAACCTCATATGTGTGTTGTCCAGATTTGAGTGTCTAAGTACAGAGAACGATTGGAAGGAGCCACTGAACAGTACTAGGACTTGTTGGGTGCTACTTTTTTCGGGGTTGCCGGCTTCTTCGTCTGCCATAGGTGGCTGTGGATGGTTATGGCGTCTACGCTGGCAGACATGGTCTTGGCTGGGATTTGGCTGAACTGCTTCCGGTCTGAGTTGTACTTGTACAAGCCATCGATCATCTTGCGCGAGATGTTCTTGGGCCCGATGCCTGTGAGCTTGGTGATCTCCTCAGTATCGGGGCAGTACGTGTAGAGAGAGCGGAACTGGCAGCCCGAGTCACGGAACAGGATCAGGAAATTGTTCGCCTCTGATTTTTCCATCTCCTACAAGAAAACGAAACAAATACACATTAAAAATCAATTTTTATCTTGTTAGCTCATGTCGCATCACATCATTTAAATAATACGAACATGTACTTACTTCTGCTCGTCTTTAAAAAAAAAATCTTCTGATTTTGATTACATTAATGTGCATCAGAGGGCGGGAAAAAATATTAACTAATAATATCAATAAGGTTAAAATGTTTTTATCACAGTCATTCTCCATCACTTACTTTCACAGAGTTGCTATTTAGTGACTATGCTCAAAACTACTTTAAGTAACGTTCTTACCTCCAGGATTTTGTTCTTCTGTCCCTCATTGACCTTCCCAGCCAAACAACAGTGAGCCAGGGCATTCTGAATAATATGCTTATTCGACTTGGCACTGGGCTCTTTGTACAATTTAGGACCTACAAAAAAAGACATCATCTTAACTTGTTGGTTAAATGTGTTTAGAAAGCTACACAACATAAGTAGTTAAAGGGCCAAAATTTCCTTACATTTTTTAAAATAAAGACTTTAACATTGTGAAATTTTACATACCAACCACAGACCATATAGTCTATATGCAGAAATTTAGCTATTAAAAACAGGCCACTTTGAATTCATTGTTTTACATACTTACATACATACACAGTCGTACACTCTTAAAAAAAGGATTATGCTTTAAGGGTTCTTTAGTAAAGAAAATGGTTCTATATAGAACCATGAACACTCAAAGAACCCTTTGCATAATTAAAGGGTTCTCTGCATCATGAAAGGGTACTTCAGATTATGGAGAATGTGGTGTAGATGGTTCTACATAAATCCTTTTTGAAAATGATTCTATATAGCACCCAAAAGGGTTCTTCTATTGTTATGATGTCAAGCTTGTAACAATAGAAGAACCCTTTTTTTGCTACATAGAACTCTTTTCAAAAAGGTTCTATATAGAACCATCTATACCATTTTTCATCAATCTCAAGAACCCTTTCGTGAAGCCTTTAATCTTGCAAAGGGATCTTTGAAAGTTTATGGTTCCAATAGAACCATTTTCTTTACTAAAGAACCCTTGAAGCACCAACTTTTTTAAGAGTGTATGCAAAAGTTTGAACAGCTCTGGTCAAATGATATGATTTGCTGATAAGTTCAAATAATTTAACAACAGGGAACTTAAATATGACATTTTTAATGCATAATTTCTGTTTATTTACTTTATTTGCCATAACCTTTGCACAGGGCACATTTTATGCTTTATTTGGTTTTCCAATATGTTAAATTCAGCAAACAAACAGTAATTACAAATATGCAGTAAATACATATATCTTCCCATTCTGCCTATGGCAGCTTAGCTCCGCCCATTTATGCCGATGTTATAAGCAGCGTTTAAGCCTGAACTGCTTTTTGAATGATGTACAATACAAGGCAGCTGATCAGAGCTCAGCCTTAAAGGCGCAAAACAGGCAGTTTAACTCTAAGGGATACAAAGAGGTTGAAATATGGTCACATAAAAATGAATTCTGACTGTTTTTGGTGTATAAACCCCCCCATACACATTATAAGTCGACCTCAGGGAAAAATGAAACTCAAACCAAGCAAATTTTGTGTTCTAACCTGTGTACTCAGTGTTGGAAGTCACAGAGGAGGTGGTAGACCCATTTTCCCAATCTTTCTCTCCGTTGTGGCTCCCAGATCGAGAAGGAGACAGGAAGCCATCAGCTGAGTCAGGCCTACAGGAAAATATGTTACATGCAACTTAATAATGTGGTCAATCAGGCAATCAAACACAGCATTATTATCCCAGTTGATGAGGCAGCATTCCACTCCAGCACGCTGCTAGTGCTCTCATGCAGTTTCAGGCAGTGAAGTCTCAACTTTTTAATGTGCAAAAATGTCTTAATCACAGTCCTTCTAAAAAGCTTTGAGTGGCTGTATACAATAAAAGAAACTAACAATCTGTACTGCTACGTCTGCTTATCCTTGTGACTGTCACCATCACATCTGCTGCATATGCATGTGACAGGAGACTCTGTTATTTATGAGGCTTTGGGTGAAGAATATTCAGTGTACGGTAAGTGGGACAAGCATGACTGTGGGAGGTTAGTGGCATGACTGTGGTTCCTTCTTTCTGCTGTATCATTATGCAAATGACATAATGAAAACTCGCACAAAAGCAGCTGTGGTATGGGACGCATCTGGATGGGCACCATTTTAGCAGGAACAGACAGACCTTGTCTGTGTCCATTGCTGAGCAGGGAGGGAAGGGGAAGGTGAAGTGATATTTCCAACTCAGAGAAGTGACTTATCCAACTGACCTTCTCCTTCTTAATCGAGGAGAGCTCAAGAAGTAGTATAGGCTGCCCGACGCTAAGCTATTGCTTCTGAGGAGCCCAAAAAAGATTCAAAAGAACACAGGAATTCACAGAATAAGGAATGCTAGGTTAGTAATAGAGAGATATTATGCGAAATATGGTGCAAATTCAGATCCACTGGTTCTTACAGTTGCTGAAAGTGCAAAACAAGTGACCTCTTTCCACAGAACACAAAAATAAAATAAAAGTAACAACTTTTTAAGTTTAGTTTAAGTATAGTTTACTGTGCTTCTTACCTTGGGGTTCTTTTCTCTGAGCTGACACTTTCATTGTCACCCAGATTTAGGGAGGCCAAAGAGAGACTGGACACTGAAAAAACACGAGGTCGTGAACCTGGATGCAAAACACAAGAATGCCACAAGACATACAGTTACACAAGGCAATGACCACCCGCTTTACTTTGAACTACCCTCTTTTTATAAAGCTCACTGTCTTGCCTTTTTGTATTTGGGTTTGGTATCTTAAAATACATAATGGTTAACAGACACTGAATGTCGTCAAGTTATAGTATAGCTGTCCAAATGCTTGCTTCTTTAGTTTTGTACTAGATATAAACTTGCTTATGTGGTTTCAGACAATGTATGTACTATTGTTATCTATAAAAGTGATTTTGCGTAGGTAGCGGTACTTTCAGACAGCTTCAAGCTTGAATCTAATCAATATATCTAATTTTTCTCATTGTGAGAAGTGAGAATATTATAAGACAATTCCAACTAATAGTAAATGTTATAGAGGTAATTTTATCCAAAAAATTAGTGTCTTACTCTATTGGCCGATAATTTTGCTTATTTCAAGAAATAATAAAAAAATAATGTTACTTGTTTCAAGAAACAGTGCTTGAAGCAAGCACAGTTACTTGCCAGTGACACCTAATGAGATAAAATTACTTAACAAGTTTAAGTTAAGGCTGAATTTAAACAAGTAAAAAACATCTACAAATAGGTTGAATAATCTAATAACATTGTTCCATCAATCTTCCCAAAGCTGGACTATGTAAGATTGAAAGACGTAGCATTACTGAGTCAGGGAGAAAAAAAACATACTAAAATATGGTGTGCACGTGCTGCTGTGAGTCGGCCTGTAAAGCCTGAAATAATAATTTAAAGTCAGAGGCAATGGGTCAGATTACTTAATGTGGTAAAAAACCAATTGAACTCAAATAAATACTTTGAATGAACAAATGTTTCATTCATGCAATTACACATTTCCACCACAGAGGTCTCCAAATCCCCAAATAACCAAAACTTATATATTGTAGCTTTAATGAGAAATATTAGATATGCTGACTAGTAATAAGACATTTTTATTTGCATTTGTCAGTTCTGTTGCTTCTGTGTGAATAAACATTAATGGAGAAGAAGTTTGGAAGAATTTAGTAAGATTGAAGAGTTAGTCAGACTGTTAGAGAGTGCTGAGAGTTAAATCAAAGCATGAGGTAGCAAAGACGTAGTAAATTCAGGATGCCTGTTAGGAAGCAGTGAGCAGGAGAGCTAAAGGCCGAGGGTGGCACAAAGCAGGCAGCGGCTGGGTCGTGCCGGATGAAGGGCTTTCGCCCCTTTACCTGCTGTGGCCCTGACTGGGGTCTTGGGGGAGTCCATCACGTCCCTGTGAATGGACTTGGGCCTTGGCTTCCTCTGCTTAGCCCCTGCAGGCCGAGTTTTCACCAGCATGTCCATGTCCTCCATGAGTTTGAGCTGCTTCCTCCTCAGGTACTCCTGCTTGATGAACTCCCGCCTGGCTTTCTCCTCCTCCTTCTTCAGCCGATCCTCCTCTGCCTTCAACCTGGGAGGAACCAGATATCACAGGCACTTTAGTGTGGAATAAATTAGCTTGTTAGCAGGTTGGTTGTTTACCTAACAAACATTTTAGTTAACAAACAATTAAGCAGCTAAGATAAAATATATAAAGGAGAACTTTTTTGACAATAGGAATGCAGTGATTTGAATGCTGGCGGGGGGCATCACCTGGCTTCCTCCTTCTTCTGCTCCAGCTCAGCCTCAAGCTGCTGTTTCCTCTGCTGGCTCTCCCGCTCTCTCCTCAGCCTTTTCTCTAACAGCGCAGCTCGCTTCATGGCCATGCTGTCCTCCCCCTTCATGTCATCCTGTTAATTAAAGGACACAATGAAAACAAACACAAAGACTGAGGAGCTCATTTAGCATCTCATATATCCATTACTGTTAGAAATGCTTGCTTAATTAAATATTTCATCTAGCCTTTGCAAGACACTAGAACATAACTTGGAGAGTACTGCCACTCTTTGAGTATATGACCAACTCCATCAGTTGTCTATTGGTAATGAACACAAACAAGTCTGTAATTAACATTATTATATAACTACAATTACATGTGTCCCTTTTCTTTAGTACCTAGAAATCAGTGTCTTACAAGACTAGACTGTAGGTTCAGATTATGGAGCGCATTGTGGTCTATGAAAACATTGTGAGAATCATAAAACCTGCTATTTTTGTTGTAATTTTCAATACATAAAAATGGCATCTCTAAAGTTATCTAACTGTTGATGCTTTTATATAGACACATGAACCATGTTAGAATGGCATCTATGGGAATTGTGATGGCAGTAATCTTCCTGGTGTTGTTGAGATGTGAACTGAACCAGAAATAGTCGCTGTACTGCTCAATGTCTGGGCAAAATACTCACATCACTATGTAAATGATTTATTAGCCCCAGTTTTCTGACCTAGATCAAACAGCAGCATGGTCTACCCAGCTAAAAAGAGCATAACACGTCTGTCCTAAGCCAACCCCTTTCTGCAATACATATCTCTCTATTAAACACTTCTGCAGGTGATTATCTTAATGAATGAATATGGAACGTACAGTAAAAAAAAAAAATGCATATTTTGTTAAGAATATTATAAAACAGAAATGGTTCAATACCACTTTTTTCTTATAAGATAATGACAGCAATGCAGATACCAATACCAGTTTTGAAATTTCGAGTATCAGTTGATACTGATACCTAAGCTTTAAAGGGCCCATATCATATATTTCCTTTATAAATACACCCAGACACATACTCTTTGTCCTGAGATCCCTTATCACACTTGGTTTAATGTACCAAAAATAATCAAAATTTAATTTTGATAATAATGTTACTTTATTCCTACCTCTCTTTATTTGTTAGAATTAACCAGGCTGTTTTTGGTACTGTGTCTTTAAGACTGCTTTATGTAAATAATTCCAGATGTCTGATTGGCTTTGAGTTATTCAAAAACTAGAGTGGACTGAAACACTCTGTATCACTTCAAGGTGAATGGGCAAAGCGAATCTGCTGACCAGGTGGATATATTTAAATGCTTTGTTTTTTTTGTGACATCACAAAAAACAACGGACTGCATGGTTTGGGGAGCAAATGCTACGTTTTGTAGCTTTAACAATGTTACATACTACATCAAACTCTTTAATTAAAAAAAAAAGTTTGGATCTAAAATCTCTAAGACCTAGAAGTTGAATATCATGCTAAAACTCTACTACCAACACAGGAAGAAATACATAGCTAACAATATTGCATTACACAATGTGAGTATGTGCTATTTCGGGCTAGATTTGTTACAGTATTGACTGATGGAGGCGCACCATAGGCGGGGCTAGTGGACGTGCAGGCCTGGCTACTGGGCTGCTATGCTAAAGGTTAAATCGAGGCTAAATGCTATAATTACGCTGAGAGTCTGGCAGTTCCTTCTGCTCTCTCAATAACATTAACTCATACTGTAAGTGACCACACAGTAGCAGAAGAGTGATTACTGAAAGAGCTCAGTCTTTCAGAAAATGTCGTCTCACGCTGCCGACATGGTGTTAAGTTCTGTCTACTGGCGTGCATGCACAGAGCAGGAATTGCTTCATGGTATCGGGTATATGTATCAGTATCCCAATCAATACCAATACAGTAGAGGTATCGGTGCGACACTACTTTTTCCCTCCGATATAGAATTTTCTGTTGATATTGACCCAGTAGCCTTATCCATAGTTACAATGTGCCAGCTCTACTATAAGACAGTAAAAGCTGTACCATATTTTCTTGTCTAAACAGTATTATAACACAGCATACGTGAGTATATGCATACCTTAAAGAAGAATCCGCAGCACATCTTCTGGTCATCATCCAGGTTCTCTCCTGTTGTCTGTGCTTCCCCTTTCTCTTCTACCTCCTGCCCATCAAGAGGTTTCAGGACAGACAGCGGCACCTCAATTAAGTTCTTGCTGCTCTGACTAACGGAATCAACTGGCTTCTCGGTAGGCGTGACTATGACAGTTTCTTTTACTGCTTGCGATAGCACCTCTGAAACACTAGATTCCACTGTGGGCTTAATTTCTCCTTCTGGCTTTTTCTCTTCCTCCTCCTCTCCATTCTCCTTCACGTTAACTTGTCCATCCTTCACCTCCTCTGACTCCTTGTCAGTTGAATCTACAACAAGTGTTTCAGTTTCAGCCTGTTGTATGTCTTTGGTTGGTGAAGTGAGTTCGCCAATGGAGCCCTCAGGGGCTTGCATATTGTCCTTATCTGTGGTTTCAGCAGCCAGTGTGGGTTTTTTGTTATCCCCAAGGTATGCGAAGGAGCTGGTCACAGACTGAGATGGGGAAAACCTACGCAGTCGAGGTATGCTATCTACAGACTGGGGAACGGTCAAGACTCTGTTGAATGGGGTGATCTTCAGCTCATTAGGCCTGGGCGTCCGTGGAGTTTTGGAGTGGAAAGAGGCTGACTTCCTCTTGAGGTTGGTGGGGGAGCGATGGGTGGTGCGAGGGGAGTCAGCAGGTGAAGGAGAACCAGAGGAGCGAGCCCCGCTCCCTCTCAGGTCCTGCACCTGTTTTTTGGGAGAAGGCTGTGGTGGAGATACGACCCAGGCCTGCTGCTCCCGCATCTGCATGATGACCTCCTGCTGCTGGGCCAGCCGCTGCATCTCTGCCTGCAAGAAGCTGAGTGAAGCATTCAGCTTCTCAATGGAGCGCGTGTACTCCAGAAGGTCTGCCTCGGATGCACCCTCATCACCCTTGACTGGAGATTTTGTAGGCTGTGGTTTATCAGCTGGTGTCTTACCATCCTCTGCGACTGCAGTGTCCTCGTGGATTGGTGAGGCGCCATCACTTTTCCTCTTGACCACCGTGAGGAAGGCGTTGCGTCCCATCTTCTGCCTGTGGCGCGTAAAGGCAGCTTCCACTTTCTTCTTCTGGGCCTCGATGGCACGTCGCTTCTCTTCCAATCTCATGCGCAGCTGCACCATTTCTGCAGCCATGGCTTGGGCCGGATCTTTCGGTGGCTGGTGGGCAGGGCTCACTTCTGGAGAGGGGGCCCAGGACACTGAGTGGGGAATGTTGAGGTCAGAACTGTCTGGTGTGGTCACCTGAGAGCTGCCACCCTTGGCCTCCACATTGGGATTGAGCTTCTTCAGCTTCTGCTCAGCAAAGCTGGTCATCTTAACCCCAGGCGTGGGGGTGCCCGCTATGGGGGACTTGGTGCTGACACTGCTGGGGCATGGGCTGGTGGAGTCCTGGCTGCGACAAGCTCTTGCCTCAAAGTCCTGATCTGTATCTAACTCCATACTCATTGTGCAGTCCCTCAGGGACGAATCCTCATCCAGTGTCTCCTGGATGTCTTCTGTTCTCACATGAATGCCAGTGTCCACCTCTGTCGATGTGCTCAAAGCCCCTTTCGTCTCCGAAACCGAGTCTAGGTCTCCTTCCTTGTCTTGGGTTTTGGAGGTCAGCTCGCCCTTGCTTTGCAGATGAAGGAAGAATCCTTCACTCTCTGCCTGAGCCTCCGTGCTCTGCTGCTGCTTCTCTGAGTTGTGGATGATTTCCAGGGCCTCTTCAATGCTAGGTGGTGCTGTGCCATTTACACGGCCATGCTGGTCTCCTGCAAGGCTGTCTGGACAGCCCTCTTCCTCAATGCCTATGTTCTGGCAGTCGACAGGTTGGAAGGACAGGTTTCGCTTCATTCCCTTGGCTAGTTTGAACCCAAAGCCCTCAGTGCTTACAGACCTGGTCATTCCCCGGCTAAGTGGCGCAGGAGTATGGCTGTTGTCCTCTTTATCGAAAGGGATGTCGAAGGACACTCCCTGAGCAGCTGACCTAAATACAGAAGAAGAAGCTAGGTATAGTAAGCACACATTTCTAATATTTTGTTGAGATTTCTGATACATATATAGAGATCAAATTAAGTGTCCTAGGTGTTCTCATGCTCACCTCTTCTCCTTGGGCCAAGTACCCATAAAGCTGTCCACAAATGACATGGAAGTTGATCGCTTGATCTGACCTGGAAAGCACAAAAACAGTATGTTTTGCAAATACAAAAAAAAGCAACGTATCTAGGCAGTAAGTTTTTAAAAACACTAACATACGAATAAAAAGAAATAAACAGGAAAAGTCAGGAACCAAACCTGTGTTCTTCTAACTGTAGTCTTCTAACCAAAATATTAATAACTTTAAAAAAATTTGAACCTTTCACTGTATTTAATTTGTATTTCTTCTAATGTTATACTGAATAAGTATACACACTGTTATATATACACCTATTCCTAAGATAAATAGTTTTAAACAGTTTTCTTGCATCCCTAAGACTCTTGCACAGTACTGTACAAACTCTTATAAGCAGACAAAGAAAATAAAAAAAAAAACCAGTAAATTACTTAATAAATATATGAGAATTTTACCCTAATTCATGTATAAATGAAAATATAGAATTATCTTTGTCGTCTTACCTGAGTTTGATGTCTGTGGCTGTGGCCGCAGTGGGAGACTAAAAATGTAGGAGAACAGATTAGTAACACGTTGAAGCATATGTTAGCAAAAAACAGGGTGGAAACAGAGGTGGAAAATAACTGTGTAGTGACAAATTACGAATACTTAAATAACCGTTAAACAATACTGATTAAAAAAGGGATTGTGTTTTATTGTATTGTACTTGTATTCCAAGATATTATAAGGCTGAGAGATCTTGCAGTGTAAAATTATCCAGGTTAAAAGGAGTTTCTAAGTTGCTATACCTTGGCCTGTCTGGACTGGGAGGTCTTTCCATGAAGCTTCTCTTTGTGACTTTTGAGATGGGCACAGATGGCACGTTCTTCAATGATGGAGTCGGTGCTGAAGGACACAGAGATAAAGGTGAGTCCATGCACTCAAAGGTCAGCAGGTGATTATTTAGGTAAAAAAAAAACATAATTTAAACATCTAGTCTTATTCCATTATTAGTTTACCTTCAGGGGCCAAAACCTGAGGCTGCACAAAAGATGGCTTCACCACTTCAAACCACCAGAAGAGCTCAGCCATAAATACAAGGTAGTTGTTCTGTTGAAGAAAAAGAGAGCGATAACATCAGTATTCCATAAGGATGTCACATAACAGAGGACTGTATGATAATTTTTATATTTCTGTGGATTAGTGCAATATTCATTTTGTTCCACAAGATGTCTCTGCACTCCTCAAGCTTTAAATAGAGCTAGTTGAATCCTGTCAATCTGGAGCAGCAGTATTCCCCAATTCTGCTCCTACAGCACCCCCGATTATTAGCCGCTCACAGTTAGAGAGGGGGCAGCACTAAATTGTGCAATGCAGGGATGCTCCAGGACTGGAACTGAGAAACAGTTATACACAAACATAACTGAACTACTTGATCAACAGACATTTGATGATAAGATCACACATTCTCTCAAACCCATGCACACATACTCACAAAATATTGCCAGTTATGTGTTGGCTGCAGCTATTACATATAACCTTGAATACCCAGAGGCTTTAGGACACTGAAAAATGCTTCGGTCATGCAGACTGGCTCAGTGTGTAAAATTCACCTTTCAGCAATATTCAAACATAAAGGCACGGGCAATTAGTCAACAGAGCTCCCAAAAGATGTTGCCTCAGGATTTTTAAAGACTTCCTTTGTTGCAATATGTTTCAAGGCTATATGCGTTTCACTGAAACATAAAAAAAGCAGTGCACCAATCAATCACAAACGTTTGTGGTCGATTTCTTTTTCTTTACAGAAAAATGATCTGACGGCTGATTTTTGTTAGTCATATTCACACTGTGGGTTAAATGAATAGATGAAACACATTAGCACAAAGGGACGGGTGTTTCATGTTGGGGGTGCTGAGGTTTTAAGCACTATGTAAGTGACTTGAGCGATGACATCATGCAAAATGATTTAATTTTTTATTAGATTTTTTTCTTCAATTTTTTTTTGCATCAAACAAAGTGTTATACTGTACTATAATGAGGTGAGAGATGACAATATACAGGTATAACTGACACATCAGATAACTGGCTCACATCCTCTCTCTGCTCTCTCATTCTAGACTAACTTTATGCAAATTAGCCAAGATGTGACCAATCAGATGGATGTGGATGTGTCACAGTAACCAACTGTGTCGCGCCCACAGTCACACACTGAGATTCAACATTGAAACGCACTCTGAGTGAGAGATAAAGAGGTTGATAAAAAGTTAATTATTATGATAAGTGACTATTTTTAGGTTTAAAAAAACAACATTATGCCATTAGCTCAAAACTGGCATATAATTCTGCCTAGATTTTCTCTCTTTGCACCTTAACCTGCATGTGTTAAGTGAACCCCTCAAAGTGGCCAACAGTTTTTAGGCTTACTGTAATGAAAATATGGCATTCAGTCAAACAGCATAGGGTTACTGCAGATTTTAAGCAAGCACATATGGGTCTTTCCCACACTCAAATTATTATGTTCAGAATGTTTAATTATTATTACTATTTTTAACAGTTACAATCCTGAAATCAGGGGTGACACAGCCCCCTCAGCACCCCCACGTCCAGTGTCCCTGCTAGGACATTTCCAGCACTTTGTATTTATCAAAATTGCAATATAAATAACATTGTTTGCTTATTATCAAGCCAAACTGGCATTTTAAATTCTTAAACGGACAATCAGTTGCCTACTTGAATAACATGAAATCAATAAAATGCTGCGTTATATGAAAGAGGGAACTGGCTTCTCAGGACAGTGAGTAACCATTAGGTACAAGTGTAGCAGCAGCATTCAAATACAGTGCAAATGCACTGACCTGGCTAATGTTATTTACGTCATAAATTTGCAACATAATTGGACAAAATGAAAACAATTCATTGGTTGATTGCGAACATGGCTGATTCCAACTGTTCATCCCTGCTGCTTTGTTATAGAGGTTTGCATTCCCACATGATGTGAGTTGTTTTCTTGCAGGCTACAGAAACAGCAGAGACCTAAGACAGTCAGATCCAGGCGGCCACAGCTGTGAAAAGTGCTCTAAATAAAGGTGAACACCTGACATTAAAGCCAAGTAAAGGCAATTCTGACCTGGGGCAGTCATTTTCAATTGTGACTAACGCAGATGGAAACCAGTTATATAGGTCTGCGGGTGGTAGCGGGACAAATGGTGCAGATATTCTGTGGAAGAGGGATGAAATCTTACAGGAGCAGACAAGAGCAGTCGCCACGCAGATCTCTATTTTGTTATCTTTCAATCACAGATATGCAAGCTGGGGTAAAGCTACTACCAAAATAAAAAATCAGTGGCATTCCCCTTTGAAGACAAAGGATTCAACTATGAAATCAGCACTGAGATACTGTGGATAGAACACTACCACTACCTCTGTGCTTAACTACCACTAACAAAGCTACAAATTACACTGTACCTTTCTATAATCTCAGCAGTTTAAGCACAATCAATCAAAATGTTTATTAGCTCTCCAATAAAAGGTGTTCAGGGGTCTGCTGCTTACCATGCATGATGAACATCTGACAGCACGCGAGTGTGAGCACGTTCGAACACAGATGGTGTTTGGCAGCCTTGCCCTCTTCCCCATCTGTCAGTCTACCTATAGAACCTACTCACACATGAGGTATGAGCACACTGGACTAATAAAACGCACCAGGATCAAATGAGTCACTGAGTCACTTAGCCATTTTTTTAAACTGACTGTCAACACAATCAAAAGGCAAGTATCAGCATGAGCACCGGTATTTCAAAAAAGCTGAATGACCTGTCTGGACCGGTGTCACAGAGGAACCACTTAAGCAAGCTGTTAATCCTTTTAGCAAGTACTAATCAGCTGTTTCTTGGCTGCCTAACTTTTAAGACAGACTAATGCCATTACTTTGAAAGGCAGTAACAGTCTTTAAAAAAGACAGCACTGATTAAATTTCTGCACACTGAATGTTAACTAGTTGTGCTGGCCATCAAAGCAACAGTTTAGCAGAAATCAAATTTATAATTTCCCCTTAACTTTAGTCAACCAGCAAAGACATTTGATGTCAAATTGATTATTTACTTTTCAGCATCAGAAAGGCAGAACATATTTTAATAAAATACACAGAAGCATGGTCCATGTGTGTGTCGGGGGGGAGGTGGCAAGGGGGAGGGGGCATTTGCATCAACATCAACAACTGAATAATACTAATTTTTTAATATTTAGTGCCTTTTAGCCTTTACTACACCTTCCGTTCTTTTTGGGAGACTCAGTTTCAGTTTTTCAAAAACGTCTGCAGGGATATTTTTCACACCTCCAAAGTTCAGTCGTCATAGTTGGTTGCACTTTCTGCCTCTTACAAGTAATCCCAATTACAAATTTAGAAACATCAGCCTATAAAACCTTACCCCACATCTCAGATGTTAAATTTCAGTGCCCTTTTCGTCCATTTATATTCATAACAGTATGTTATATAGTGACAGTAACCACATAAGCTGGTCCGTTTGAGATTACCTTACCTAACAATGCAACATGGTTAAAGGCAAGTGTGGGATGATTTAGGCATGCGATTTGCACAATGCTAATTGGTGATCATAAGCTTCCATTACTAATTACCTCACCAGTTAGCAGTATGCATGCATAATCACCTCACATTTGCCTCAAACCATTGTCTTGGCTGATTGACTATATTTGGTAAGGGCAACGCTGTGTAAACTGCCATGATGGATTGCAAACAGAACCTAAAACACAAATCACAGTACTGTTATGGTGAACTGAGAACTCTCTGAAGTCCTAAGACCCAGCAGCACAAGGTTAAATGGAATCAGTTATTCATGCAAAAATCCTCAAATCAATTTCACAGGCCTGTGGACTGTTTATTAAGGTTTATAACAGCAGTTTGGCTATGTATTTGGTTGTCTGGTTGAGCACTGTGGGTGTTCACAGTTAGCCAGGTTAAACCATGGGTGGGCTTAACTGTGAGGCTCAGCCTCCTCCTTAATATCAGTAATGAAGGCTTGAGAAAACTCAGTGAGCCGGGCCCAGTGCAGTGCTACTAGAAAGTAGGTCAAGGTTACAGCTCCTCAACCTGCTCTCAATTCCACTCACATCTGAGTTCCCGTGCAGCAGCCTGACGTATGCAGACTTACACACATGCTTGGTGTTCACTATAAAGCTACTGGCTCAAATAGTGTTCACTGTTTGGGAGGATAGCGTCATATTTAAAAAAAATGACAAGATGTGGTCTGGAGGATGGATTTTTGAAAACCTTCTTTGGAAACTGGATAAAACAATTATGTATGGTCACCTTTAATACATATATATGCACTGGTCAAACACAGAATTCGATCATTCACCCAAACTGTATGTGTGTCTATATACACACTGAAGCCTCTACATCAAGTACATCTCCTTGTTTCTACACTCTTTGTCCAGCTCCACTTACCATATAGGAGCACTTTATAGTTCTAGACTGTTATAGACTATAGGGGTCCATCTGACTGTAGCTACAGACTATAGTCCATCTGTTTCTCTGAATACTCTGTTAGCCCGATTTCACCCTGTTCTTCAATGGTCAGGACCCCCACAGGACCACCACAGAGCAGATATTACTTGGGAGGTGGATCATTCTCAGCACTGCAGTGACACTGATGTGGTGGTGGTGTGTTAATGTGTGTTGCGCTGATATGAGTGGATCAGACACAGCAGTGCTGCTGGAGTTTTTAAACACCTCTGGACTGAGAATAATCTGCCAACCAAAAATATCCAGCCAACAGTGTCCTGTAGGCAGCATCCCGTGACCACTGATGAAGGACTAGAGGATGACCAACACAAACTGTGCAGCAAATGATGAGCTATTGTCTCTGACTTTACATCTACAAGGTGGACCGACAGAGCAGGATATAAACTACACTCTTAAAATTATGGTTCTTCAAGAGTTCCTTAGTAAAGAAAATGGCTTTGCGTGATTAAAGGGTTCTTTGCATCATGAAAGGGTCCTTCAGATTGATGGAGAATGTGCTGTTGATGGTTCTATTTGAAAAGTGTTCTACATAACACCAACAGGGATTCTTTTATTGTTATGATGTCAAGCCTGTAACAATAGAAGAACCCTGTTTGGTGCTATATAGAACCCTTTTCAAAACATTTCTACATAGAACCATTTAAAAAACACTCTCTATTAATCTTAAGAACCCTTTAATGATGCAAAGAACCCTTTAATCAAGCAAGAGTGTTTACTAAAGGGTTCTTTACTAAAGAACCCTTGAAGAACCACTTTTTTAAGTGTGTATATAAATTACTCCAACAGAAACTACTCTCAAATGAAGCCAGTCATCATTCTAGCAATTAAAAGGCTATTTTAAGGGGAGGAAATGAAGGCATTAATTCAGAGTTCTGGTTACACTTAAAAAAAATAATTATGCCACAATGCGACTGAAGAACCGCTTCTGGTTTCCTAAACTTTTCAGTGGATGGATTTTAAAGAACCATTTTTGCAAATGAGATGTGCAAGTATGAAGAACCTTTTTAAGGAATAAGTAACGTCTTACATGAAATTTCTTTACCGTTTCTAGATTTTTTCAAGATTGAATGAACTTCCACATGATGTAAAGGTTCTAATAAGGACCGTTAAATGATAGAATCTTAAATGTATAGAAACTTTACATTCTGTGAAAGTTCTTTAAACCTTTACAAGGCTCCAAATATGGTTCTTTTGGGAACCAAAAGTCACACCTCTATTGTCCAAAAACTTTTTGAAAAAGAGTATAGGGGTGTACGATATTAACTCCATATTACAATTACACAGCTACACATAAAGACTGCTATATACCATCCAATTTGCTGAAAACACACTAATGAACCCTCGATATGACATGGTTAAAAACATTACTTTTGACCAAAATTATTTGTTTGTTGTGTAAATGTCTTGATTCATCCCAAAGCCTACAGAACATCTGTGATCAGCCAGGATGCTCACAGCACACAATGCCTGTTCATATCCACATCTCTAAGTAAGCTTCTGGCTGTCTCGGGGACTCAGCCTCTGAGCAGCACAAACGTCCCCTGCACGCAGTCTAGAGAGGAAATACTGTCAGGAACACTCAAGCAGACCACACAGAATCAGAGTGTTCCTATTCAGTCTAAGACCTTGCTTTTGATGTCCTAGAGAATCTGTTCAGCCTGTGTACAATGGCTCATGAAAGGATTCAGGATGTAGGGTGATATTTAAACGACGGCAATGGCAGCGAGAAAAAAAAACTCTTTTACAACCGATTCAAGCCTTGAAAGCCAGTACAAAGAAAATGTATTTACTTTAACTGAGTCTTTTAAGTTAGCATCTCCAATATGACAGCAGACAAAAACTGTACTTAATCAACAGGGGATTCCGTTATTATTAGGGATGTAAATCTGTCTGACATCACAACAAGCTGATTCAATTTAGGAATGAAAACTCCAATTTCACCACAGTTTGACTGGATTTGATTGTTTTGGTACAATTTAAAATAATTTTTAAGAATACACTCAGAACACAAAAATGATTGGGGGGGGGGTGTGAAGTATAGACAATAATAATATATTTCTATACTGTGCAAATGTCAAACACCACCCTTTACAGTCAAAATAACCATTAGGCACAAGTTATTCATTTTTCAGGAGATATTTCTGAGGTGGATAAACATAACATTTACAAAAGAAAGAGGAAAGGTAGACCACTAAAACTGTCCCCATCAGATAAACAGCACTTAAAGCCTTTATCTTTGAGAAAGAGGAGAAAATCAAGCTCCATTTTTGCTTTAAATCTGAAATGAATTCAATGAAGTGTTTCTGTCCATCCTTCCACTCAACACTATGGGTCTAAAAGGATGTGTAGCTGTCAAGAGTTCATTGCTGAGAGGAATAAATAAATTAAAAATGAATAAAACCAAGTGACTTGAACCGTTGCAACCAACTTCTATGACTAAACTTAGAGGTGTGGAAAACTGAAAGCAATTCCGAAAAGAATGGGAGCTAATTAACACATTAAGCTAGCACATTAAATACTGAATATATGAAAAATATGTATTTAGTTGTTGCTTTTGTGTAATTTTCCTGATGCCAAAAAATGAATACATTTTACTTAATGGCTATTCTGAATGGACATTAAATGCATGGAGGGTGGTCTCTGACTTGTACAGAATACATACACTGATCAGGCATAACATTATGACCACCTCCTTGTTTCTATGCTCATTGTCCATTTTATCAGCTCCATTTACTACATAGGTGCACTTTGTAATTCTACAATTACAGACTGTAGTCCATCTGTTTCTCTGCATACTTTGTTAGCCCCTTTTTACCCTGTTCTTCAGTGGTCAGGACACCCATGGACCCTCATAGAGCAGGTACTATTTGGGTGGTGGATCATTCTCAGCACTGCAGTAACACTGATGTGGTGGTGGTGTGTTAGTGTGTGTTGCGCTGGTCTGAGTGGATTAGACACAGCAGTGCTGTAGTTTTTTGGCTGGGGGGATTTTTTTGGAAAATTATTGTAGAAGACTTTTACTTCTGGCCAAAAAATTAGAGCATATTATAATTGGTTATTAGCAACTGTAACATTCCAAAACTGTTCATCCATCCATGTATCACCATGCAAAGGTGCATTTTACACACCTAACTATTATCAGTCTAATGTTCTCCCATCCACGTTTCAAAAAAGAAAGCACACTGCTTCGGCTGCTATATATCCATATAAAGGCGGATACCAGAATAATTCACCACAAAAGAATTATGCCAGCAAAATATTCAGTCATCAGCAAACACTGCAGACTTCAAATGCTCTGCCGTAGACCTTGTATGACTTTCTGACCGTATAACACGCTAAACTGGTTTTCTAAACCTTTCCATTACATATTTACTTATCAAATCAGGGCTAAGTGCATTTTCACAGTATTCAGATCCTGGGAGTGTGTGCTTATTTCAGTGTGTCTTCACTGAGTCTGAGAATCTGTTACCATGGGGAGCCTCTTTCCACCGCTAGCTTTCTAAAGCATGACTCACTGCTCTGGCAAACGTGAATAAACCAACTGCCTGCCCCCACAGGCTCTTCATCTGCTTGTAAAGCGAGCTGTGCCAATACTCCAGAAACCACGGCCTGAACATCATTCATTTGACCACAAAAGCTCTAACCTGTTCCCCCCAATTATACCACTCGCATTGTGAGTCTGCCTAAGAGTCAGTCTGTTATCAAAATGCCATCTTGCAATGTGCCAAGTTGAAATGCCAACTTGATAATCATTCTAATGGTAGATTTATTCAATGCACTGGGTGAATATTCCTCCAAAATTCAAGGTTTCAATATTTATTCAGTACCTCTCATACATCTAGACACACTTGCTTACAGAAGTTTCCTTATTTCAACCATTTTACAAATTTATGAATAATATTGGAGACCTCAAGCCATAAAATAATACATATGTAATTATGATGTAACCAATCAAAACTACCTTCTGTTTTGCTCCTTTCATTCTTATAAGCTTTATAAGGTGCCACCTGACATGCTTTCTTTTAAGGCTTGAAGAAGCTCCACATATGCTCAAAGCTTGTTTATGGAGGTGGGCAATATGGCAAATCATGGAACTTTTTAGCATACACAATATGTATTATGATTTTTATTTTAGTTGGAATAGACAAAAAAGAACTTTTCAAAATACTACCAAAAACTATACGTACAATTATTTTTATTTTTACATATATTTTGTTTGTTTGTTTTTTTCCCCAATTTAGAGGTATCCAATCCTACCCACAAGTTAAGACTCCCCCAGTCACACAATAACCAACAGCACTAGGAGGGCGAAAGCTAGCTCAGGCTTCCTCCAACACCTGAGAAGCGCCACCACATCTTTTCGAACTGCGGCTAACTCAACATCATTGGACAGCTAAACGCACTCGGAGGAAAGCACCAACCGCCATATCTGTTACGTCAGCTAACAGATGCCTGTACTGACTAGCATCATGCTGAGTAATGGGGGAGACAGGGGGACCATCCTACCCACCCAGAGAGAAAGTGAGGCCAATTGTCTCCCGGCCAAGAATGGCTGTAGCATCATCAGGGATCAAAATCGTGATCTCCTGATGATAGAGCTAACACTTGGACAGTTGCAGCACTCGGGAACCCCAATATTTTTTATTTACTATTTACATGTATTATATTATACCGCACTACAGTTCAGAAAAGCTTAGTGAGACATATGTGATGTAATTGAAGATGGTAACGATAAATAGACATATTGCCCACCCTTACTTTTTGATTGAGTATAAAAAACGCTTGTTTTGTAAATACATTTGTACATACACATTAACTTCATTAGTTATATTATCTTCAAAACAAGTCCAAGCATTTAAGCATAAGCAAAAATGGAGATATATTCAATCAGAAGCGCCCAAAAATTTGCCTGGTGCTGTATTGGATAATGGCAGTCATCCAAGTGGGACTGCAGTGGTTTAAAACGAAGGTTGGCATAGAGGCTTACTTTGATGGATGAAGATGCATACAGCATGTCCTCCAGGCTGAAGTGGCAACAGTGGTTCAAGTGCTCACGGCAGAAGTCCTGAATGAGCTGCAGGTTGTATAAGCTGTCCGCCAGCGACATGGTCTCCTTCAAGCATATGTCTGTCAAGGAAAGATCAACTTTTTTTTCAAACTTAAGCAAAGCAAGTCAACTGTGTTTTTCTACCAATGCTAGTGGAGTTGATTAGGTCTTGACCAATCACAGCACAGCGCATAGAATTAGTTCACTGCGACTCCACCAATCAGAAGTTGGGCCATTAATCAAAGCATCAATCAAAAAGCATGTGATAAGAGGCGTGAGAGGAACCATTTGTCTTTTTGTGTCTGAAAGATAATCTAATTATTCCTCATTTTATGCATGAGCTGAATAAAGAGTTAACTGATCTGACAGAATAAAGCCTACAGTCTTCAGTTTGATGTAATTATATTAAAGATAAATAACATGAAAGTGATGCTGCTGTTACTTTACAGAGGGACATTATTTCTGTCAATGTTTACTAAAGTATCTCTCTTACTTCCTTTTTCTCACCTTGTGTCTCCCAGTGTGTGAGATAAAGTTATTTTACTCATTATTTCTGAGGGAAATGCAATGAGAAGCGAAAATATTGGGACAATAATTTGAAGTGGGTTGTTTTTGTTATATATTTATTAAATTAGATGAGCATGAGACTAAAGCACAGAATGGCAGTTTTTATTTCCAGACAGTGTTTTCCACAAAACATCAACCACACAGAAAAAAAAATAAATAAATAAAAAGCATCTTTTGTTTTTGGGACTTGATTTTGTTTTTTTCTCGCCTGTAATGCACTGTTCATAGGACTTTCTACAAGTACAACAAACTACAACTGCAGAGTGCCGAAGCAAGGATATTATTATCACGGACTAGAAAACAAAGATCACATTAGAGCAGGTTTAGCATCACTGCACAGCTGCCTGTTTCCTTTAGAACTGGCTCTAAAATTTAATGGTTTAGCAGCTTTACTGCTCAACCAATTATGTCCCAAATCATTCTCTAAGATCATCTAGTGCTATGCCTTCTCCAACATTCTATTTTATTGCACCAAAAATCTGGAACACATTACCAATAGACATCAGTCAGGCTCCTTTTAAAATATAGTTAAAAACATATTTTTTTACTTAAGCATTTAATTAGTTTTTTATTGTTTCCCTTGTTTTTACTGGAATATTACTTTTACTTTTTTGTTAGTTGTTGTATTTTTATTGTATTTTTATTTATACTTTTATCTGGTGCATTTAATTTTGAATGTTATTAATAAATCCTCTTTTCTGCTATTGCCCTTATTTGTTGCATTTTTATTATGTTTATTTTGTTTTTCTTAACCTTTTTCTCTTCCTTCTCTGTTGTTTTTCCTTTTTTACTTTGTATCATGAAACACTTTGAGCTGCATTTTTAATGTTGAAAGATGCTATATAAAAGATTATCATTATTTTATTAAATCCAATAGTTCCAGGTAAGCATACATATTTGGACAAATACATTTAAAGCAAAGCCTTTACATGCAATAACTGCCTCAAGCCTGCAACCAACTAATATCACCAGACTCTTGACAACTTCAATACTCCACCAAGCCTTTATGGCAGCGTCCGTCAGTTGTGCAGGTGAAATGCATCGTCAGTGGGTTTAAATCAGGAGACTAGCTTGGTCCGTCCATAACGTTCAACCTTTCTTTCTGATGAACTCCTTGGTTAATGTGTAGTATGTTTTGGGCAATAATCTTGCTGCATTATGAACTTCTGCCCAATGAGTTTGGAGACATTCATTCGGCTGCTACTATCCCCAGTTACATCATTAATAAAAGTTTTCATCTCGGTTTTGTACCTTTTACATAAGAACAAGACCCCAGTGCAAATTCCACTGACTGCAACCAACTCTACACCTTCAGAGCTCTTTTATGTGTTTTCAATAAAGGGAACATGGAAAACCAGAGTAATCAGAATCAACTGTCATTCATTTTTCCTCAATACTTACATTTAGCTGAAATTGGCAAATGATGTTTTTTTTCCTGTATGATTTTTACATTGTATGAAAAGCATTGTCCAGAAATAAAAGCTGGTATCCTGTGCTTTAGTCTCACGCTCATCTTTGATCTGGAATGCAAATTTTATTGTACCAAAAAATAATTGTCCCAGTGTTTTTGATTCTCTCTGTATACTCAAAGGTTCTACGGTCGTCTGTATGTGTTAGTATAGCAAATGCTTTCTCTCTGCCTGCAAATACACCAAAAGGTTAGGGACACTATGCCTTACGTTTAGATTTTATGAATAATGTTTTTTTTTTTTTTTAATTTTCTGATTAAGTAAGCAAAGAGGTTCTGTTAACATTTTACATTTAGATATTTACGTCTAAACACTTTGGGTTTATTTTGCAGCATGTGGCAGCCTCAAGTAGATCAAAGTATGAAGAGAAGGATTTATCTAAACGCTTATTTAACAATTTCTTTTTAAACTGTTGTTAAATTCACATACTGAAAATCTTTGTTTTAAACAGCTAAAAAGTTTGAGCTAGTGTAAAAGGTAAAACTGCCTATCCGTCCACATTAAACACAGGTTAGCACGCCCAGTAATGTTAAATTTATAAGGAGTATTTCAGCCCTGACTGTTTTCTGAATGAACCACAATACAGGCCAACCACTCAGAACAGAGGTGATTTACATTTATCAGTCTTGAAGACACAGTAACAAAAACAGCCTGTTTAATCCTAAGTGGATAAAGAGATGTTAGAAATGACTGTTTTTGGAATATTAAGCCACACTAAAGTAATGAGTGAACCTCAGGGGGGAAATAAAATATGAGAAAAATGTATGAAATGGGCACTTTAATAGATTTCTATGTAATATATTGTTGCAGAAAACTTGCATACTTCATTACAAACGCTTGGAAAAGCTAGGTGTCCCCATATTTTTGGCTGGAAGTGCATCCTTTCAAGGCAAGGCTCGGCAAGTTTATTTGTATAGCACCTTTCCTACACAGCAGCAGTTCAAAATGCTTTATTCAAACACAGAAAAATAAAGATTTAATAATATTAAATAATAAAGCTTATGACATCTTGAGATCTAGCACTTCAGAAAGGCATTTGCAAAGATAGTTTACAAAAAAAATGTAATTAAAGTGCTGAAGATGAAAGTCAATGAAACAGCAAATAAAATAGAAGATTTAAAGAAATGAAAATAGCTTTAAGGTAAAGTGAGGTGCTAAACTAAGGCACAAGACATCAAGACCTTTAAACTGGACTTAAGGATGGTGACAATTGGAGCATATCTGACCTCATCTGGGAGTTTGTTCAAGCAGTTGGCAGCATAATGACTGAATGCTGCCACACCCTGTATGGTTCTGATCCTGGGCACTACTAACTGACCAGTCCCTAGTGATTGGAGAGGGCTATTGGGTTTATATACTCCAAGCAAGTAGCTAGTGCAGTAACTTGAGGATTGGTATGTGAGTGATGTGCTCAGATCTCTTAGTTCTCATAAGCAATCTAGCAGCTGTATTTTGAATAAGCTGTAGCTGTCTGATTGTGGTCTTGGGAAGGCCAGTAAAAAGACCACTGCAGTAGACCACCCAAACACATACAAACACGCAGATACACTGTAAAATTTGGCAGGTGTTTGTACCCTCTAGCTTGACGATGTCCGGGCAGTAGAAGTGCAGCAGGGCGGCGAGGCCGCAGCCATCTGTGCTGTCCTTCAGCAGGTTGTCCACCGGGGGGATCCATGGCACTGTCTTAGGCAACACCTGCTCTTTCCTGTAGCGGGCCTGAAACCCAGCACACAAACACAAGAAGCACAGTCAGCATAGAGCCATAACAACTCCTAAATGACGCGACAGGCACGATGAGTGAAAGTTTATGTCAGCTGAATCACGGACCAGTCTGAACACGTGAACATTCAAAACAGACAAAAACCACAAGTACAAAACTCTAGCTTACCCGATTCTATCACAGTATTAGGGCTGCACAATATATAATCTGTTAATCGTATGACAATATCGGCCTCTACGATTCTAATATCGCAGATGGCTGTGATATGCAAATGACTAAATGTTTTATCGTGTGCTGTGAGCATCTTAACCAATCACAGATGTTCCTTGGGTGTTTGGGTGAATGAAGGCACATGATTCAGATGATTGAAATAACTTAAAAATCATTTTGCTCAAATATAATTGGACAATGTCAGTGTTAAGGGTTTTAATGTATTTTAAGTCACGTCGCAATCATAAAACATAGTAATATGACTGCAATATGGAATTTTGTCTGATTTTGAATATCGTGTAGCCCTACATATCTGCACAGAGAAAACTGACGCATGTGCTGAGCTATAAGAACAACAATGGAAGCCACAGGATGGTTGAATACTGAATACTAGACATTTAACAGAAAACCTATTAACTTGAACCACATTAATAATAAAAGCCAATGGGAAAGTGCAACAACTGCCCATTGACCTCTATAATAAATGTGTTCATAATAATGTTTATGCTTAGGAAAGAACAGAAAAATTGTTATAAATGTGATGTAATCATGTGCTTAGAAAATAAAAACCTAATCTTTCAGAAAAAAGGTACTAAATACCTTTAGTTAGAGAACATAACTGTACCATATTGTGTTGCAGTTGTATATTTTAAGTTGCACTGACTCTGTACAGTCTTCACTCCAGGCTTTTTATTATATTTTTCTATTTTAACATGTTAGATTATAAAAAGGTACAAATATCCACTTTTACACTGGGAAAGTGAACGTAGTACACCTTTAAAACCTAAGATACACAATTTGACCTTAAGACCTTTGAGGGTACATTCACATTAACAAAAATGTACCTGTACAGTATCCTTTTTTGGTACAAACAATGTAAATCTTCCTTCAAAAGGTACAACAGTGGTTTTAAGGTCCAATTGTGAACCTTAAATAAGTTTTTCCAGGTGAAAAGTATGTATTTGTTTCTTTTCATAACCTTATGTTTTAAAACAGAACAATAAAATAAAAACCCTGGAGACGAGACAGGGTGTGTGGAGTCAATACAACTTAGAAAATATAATTTCAATGGATTATGGTACAATTATGTTCCCGGACTAAAGGTACTGAGATGTAACCTTGAGGGTACCACCCCAGTGACTAGAGAGCTACTGCCCCAGTGACAGTTTTATACCTTTATTTCTGAGAGTGTGTAGAACAGAAGCCAATGATAATGTAATGAAGTAACTGCCCATTGGTTTCTATTATAAGCATTTTTTGAGTCAATGTTTTTCTGTTCTTTTAATAAGTACAGTGAAACACATTGAAATTATTCTCTCTGATTGTACGCTACAGAACAGCAGACGGAGATTAGGCTGAAAACAGCTGGACTATTTCTTTAACACTTGTAGCAAAATATAGAGTTCCTTGTAAACTAGTGTTTCAGACATTCTAGGTTACGACTCCTGACGGATGAAACTGACGTTGAACAAAGACAAACAGATGAAAGCATGACAGAGGGAGAAGGAAACTACATCCATCTTTGAACTTACAGGAACCAGCTTCATATACCATTTGGTTGGAGACTTCAGTTGGCAAAAGAGCGCACATGAGAGAGAGACAGAGAGAGACAGAGAGAGAGGGAGAGAGAGAGAGAGAGAAGACTGTCAGGAAGGAAAGTCTAATCTCATCAGAGAGGGAGAAAGACCCAAGAGAGAGGGAGAACAGACGTACTCTGATGAGGTTACCAATTTCATCAATACTTCATTACTTTAAGTAGTAAACGGAGGCAGTCACTGCATTCCTCTTCTTAGGAGCTTCATTCCACACTGCACTCAGTGACAGACATCACTATAGTAACTCCAGCATTAGGACAGTAATGTGGCTCTGAGGGTTAATAAGGCCTTTCCGTTCCAGCCGTAATGACCCACAGCCAAACTCCGAGACAAACCCCAGTCTGACTTGAAGCGCCTGTCAATGTCCATGTCCTCAACATCCACAGAGCAAAACCTTCGGGAGCATTTCATCCTAGAGGATTTGGGGATTCAGCACTGCCATCACAAATCAGCCCAACTCCCAGTAGGGAGCCAATTTTAGCACTGGGGAAAAAAAAATCTAAAGTTCTAAAATCTGATCTCCCTCCACAACACAGCAACTTTTCAGGGTCAGATTTGTATTTTATACGATTTGTATTTTTGGCACAAGAATTCGACCAGGCTTTAGTAAAATCAGTACAGAGCAAAGGCATCATACTGACTACTAAGCTTTTTAACCTTAAAGCTTTTAAAATCCCAGGTTTATTACATACTAAGGCTTATTATTCAGTAACTACAAAGATTTCAATGCAAACTGGCTCAGCTATTCTTTACAGAAGTGTGTAATAAAACTTTGGGCCTGCCGGCGGGACCTGGACATTTAAGGGTTTAATGTAAGTTCTGATTCATGACAACTACTGCATGTAGTCTGATACTGAAAGCACATCTGCCTGTGAAAGGAATAGTTTGATTAGCAGCCACCTTTAAATAATGTTCTCTACAACTCACACATAGGTGTCAAAAGGGTGCTTGTTTAATTTTGTACTGGAGCTAGGAGGCTAATGGAGCTAACGAGTAATGCATTAATCACAGAGGGGCAAAAAGGCATAACCATCATTCCATATAAAACCTCTTTATTTACATTTCCTATTAAAATCGGCCGTCATCACAAACGTAAAAAATACATTCAAACCACATTTTGTTCTCTTTGCTGTCAGTGTGTACCTACATTTGTACGATTGAATTTGACTGATTATTGGTCTTTTCTTCCTTTACGATTCAGTCGGTTGGCTATGTGGATTCTTTTAACAGCTGTAGGGGGCAGGTGTCCATCCCAATTCCACTACTTCCATCAGTAGCATTACACTGCATTCCTTATAAAGGTGAGTTTATATACGGATTATTCTACCGAAATGGTTTCAGACTTTTAACTAACAAGGATTTAGATTAAAATTATGTTTATTTTATTAAAATAAATGATTGAACATTCCATTGTGTCACTAACAAAACAATTATAACACTACTAACACTAAAACACTATCCAGTAAATAAGCTGCAAACACAGCTTTGAACACACAAACTCATCATAGTTTTTATTAAAACATTTACTTAAAAGTTTACTTAAAAATGTGAGTTTCATTAGTGACAATTCTCAAATGTTCCACACTCATTTTCAGACTTTGGGACACATTTACTTCAAAGCAATGGGATCTAACTGATCACCATGTCGCCATGAGGGACAGGGATGTAGTCTCACTTCCTGCTCTAAATGCGGGGGTGTGGCTAAAATAAGGCTCCGCCTACTGACTAAAACTCTTTGTATTTTGGTAGTGACATGAAAAAGTGGAGCATTTTTATTTAAGAACGAAATAAAATATTTACTTAAAAACTAAACTCACGACAAATCTAAATCATTCAATTTCACTTTAGAAGAAGTAAAAAAGTCTTAAAAAACAAAATAAATTAAGTATTATTTTTACAAATTGAAATCTGAGGGTTAGGGTTTTGTACAGCCACCTAGAAAGTACCCTAAAAAATGACTTTGTATACATTTATTATATGTTTATTTATTTTTCTATCAATTAGTAAATTTATTGATTTACTATTAATTACTGCCTTGAGTTCATAACATAATATTATGGTCTGAACACTTTTTTTTTACTGCATAGTAGTGCAGTTTGGTAGAATGGTCAATATATAGCAGTATGTCATACAGTGTCAGAAACCACATAGGTCTCGTGGTTTGAAGCAGATGTGTGATGATTTAGGCATGCATGGACACTGTTAATTGGTGGCATGCCACTACGTAGCTACATTAGAGCATCCTCAAAGCACCATCTGCCTCATAGCCCTAGTGAAAAACTGTGGACATGACTGATGGACTACATTTAAGGTAAAGAGAAAACTGTGCAAATTTGATTTTTCACTGAACTATCCCTTTAAGTCGGGCTGTTCTCAGTTAACATCACATCTGTCCTTCCTTAAAGCACTTTCAGGCTGTTTCAGCTGCTCTGTAATGAAATGACCTTCCACTACTCAGCACTGGTGCTGTCCTTTTGAGAACTGTCGCACTGCCTCACTAACAGGCACACACACGCAATGCCTCTGAGAACTGACTACTCACATTAGCTTCATATGCTCTAGTCCAGCAACATCCTCAGGGCAGGGCGGGACAAAGTTTCTCAGTAACACACACACCTCACTGACGGGTTAGAGACTACGCGGCCTGTCAAAACGGAGCTCAGTTTACTGTGAAGTCTCAGACTGACGGCTTCAGCCCGCAGCGTCTCCGCAGACCACATCTCTGCCCAGTGAAAGATGTAATCTTTTCTCAGGGCCTTTTTTAATTGAACGTCTGGCTTGAATCATGATCAAGATACAATATCTCATAAACTAGACAGGGACGTATCCTTGTTTGCCCTGTTAAAACCCTGGGATTTTCATCTGCTCAATCTGGGGTTTTTTATGTGCAGGTGCCAGGAAAGCAGACATCGCATCTCATGATTTTCTCCCTGATTGAAAAACTCAACTGACTGAATGACATGCAGAAATCTGACGAGCAGCTTTTTATTCCAGACAGCCCCCTGCTGATCAGAGCATTACCTCAAAATCCATATTAAAGCACAGAAAGTTCACTTTTGCTTAGACTTTGAGAATTCGTAGGTGGATTCTGTGTAGGATGCACTTTGGTTTATTCACATACACAAATCAACCTCTAAAAAAAATCTCTAAAGTGGTAAAAAATCCAGGAGCAGGGGTGCCAGACAAAACCGTTAACAGTAAATGTGATGCAATTTTTTTTTTTAATTAGTCATTTAATTTCTTCAAAGTACTAACTAGTTCAACTAGTTATTCTGACATACAGTATGTTACCACAGTAATAACAGTAACAACCACTAAAAGTCCTGTCTACTCATTTTCATGATTGTCTTCTAACTATTATCTATAGTCTTTGTGATGTTTTTACTATGTAATAACAGAGGAAGAATGCTGTGGGTTGGGCAGGACAAAATCTGGCATAAGCGATATCAGATATGCCAAATTACTAGTTAGAGTTATTAATATGTACACGTCAACTACTTGTGTTCCTCTCCTTCACTTAAGATGACTACTCTCTCGCTGCACCCAGTCAAAAACTTATTATTACATTGTTTTTTGTGGTGTAGCTAGACGCTGCTTCCTACTTGTGTTATCCACCTGCTGCAGGATTCTTGCATTAATGATTAGGCAGTGTTTGGGTGCTAAACAGAAGGTTGTATAACAACACTTAACCACTAAATAAACCACATATTATAATCTCGTGTATCATCTACAATTCCGAGCATGTTCAGAGTATAATACCTGCTGTAAATATGACTTTGTTGGCGTTTAAGCGCAGTTTATTAGTGGGAAAAGTGGGGGTATTTCCCAGTTTCCAACGCCACTCAAACAAAGCATTAACTTCAATCACGAGAGTGCAATAGCTAGCGGTCCACCTTAACTGTTGAATGATACCTTAGCGTTGTTTTCTGTTAGCTACACCTCTAACATCAAGGCTCACAGTCTCTGTCCATGGCTGTGAAATGAAGGTGATATTTGCTTTTGTAATTTTCATTGAATTTTTGTAAATTAACAGCAGTAGCGTTAAAATACAGTGTTTGTATGGTTTATTCATGTTTTTGAAAACAAAAAATAGGTACTGACCATTCAACAGTACTTTAACAGTGATATTTATTTATTTACTTATTACCATGTAGGTACATGGGTTGTTTGTATCAGTATTCGGAAGAAAACCTCTTTCATTTTTATTTTCAATAATATTTTGACCCTTTATGTTGGTCAGTTCATAATGAAATAGTCACACAGTGTAATTTAATTACACCTAATGATTAATTACACTTAATGATTAATTAACATTTAATGTTTTCCTATCTAGTTATTTATATAAACATTGTTTTTCCAAGATAACGGGACACTGTTCTTAAAATCTTATATATATATTAATAATTACACCATTAATTTGAGCTGATTTTCCTATTTTTCTTTAATTACTGTTGGAAAATGGGGCTAGCAATTTTTTCCATAAACACTGATATGATGCACTGATGTAATGTATCAGTCAATGATCAAAATAATAATGCTGAATGAGCAGAAGTCTTTGTGTGCGCGTCAATTATTTTTGCGCTGTGTTTAGCATTACAGCAAAATGTAACATTTATTTGTATATAAAATAAATTGAATAAAGTGAATACATTTTATCACCCTAGCCCAGCGTCGCCTGATCATTCTGCTATTCTGTAGTATAATAAATACCTCGTCAACTATTGGTTTGAAACATTGGTCAAATCTGATCTGTCCAGTGCCAAATACTGATATCATAGTGCATCCCTAATAGAAACGTATGACATTAAAGTTCCATTGTTTTCAGTGCTTTGCATTTGCTTTGGAACATCTTAAAAAGTGAGAGAAAATTAGTCAGCAAAGCAAAATTCTGGATTGAATTTTCTCATAAAAATTAATATTCATGCGACAAAATTTCATATCGCTCAAGCCCCACAAAGAACCTTTCTTGGCACATTTATTTTTAAGAGTGTACATGTGCAAATGTTTAAGTGGTATTTCAGTAAAACAGGTTCGGTGTTTGGACTAGACCCAACATGCTCCGAGTTGAACATTTGCAGAGATGAGGATGGACGCAGGTTAGTGGCAGAGTGCCAATCACCATTGTCCCGACAGCAGGCCATGTGAGGGAGTTTAAATGGGGACGCAGTTGGGGAGCGGGGGGTAGTTAGCGGGCCTCTTCTGGTTGGATAACACAGGGCTCACAGGGGAAAGGAGGGGGCAAAACAACAAGGATGACAACTACCCTCAGTGCCAGACTGGCTGGGTCACCAGGAGGAGGATGGTGGAACGCAGAGTGCTTTAAACAACCGAAAAACACACACATCAGCGAAACGTCCACATCGTAACATCAAGCTGAGAGATTCCAGAGACTCAGACATTCCTCAAAGATGAGCCCATGACTCAGCAAAGCCTGAAAGCCCTTAGCCAGCACCCTGGCATACATCATTACAGGCACTACATAGGGATTGTTGTTGCATAGCACGATTTGTTGACAGATCACCTTAGCAACAGTTTATACAGAATCATCTGAGCAATCATAACAGTGAACAACTTGAGAACAAAAGAGCGATCTCGCTGCAAGTTTTCACTAACAATTACTGCTTATTGACCAAGTAGATGAAGTACTGACACACATTTCATTACAGTAAAAAAGGATCTGACAGTTTGAAGAGAGAATCGGCTGTGAATTCATTCCTTTGTTCATCTTTGTTTTACGCTTTCATCTCAAAGGGATGATTCTCTACCACAAAACTGTCTAAATTCCATTTCACCTTCAACCACATATACAGTACAATGTATTAAGATAGAGAGAGAAGCGCTACCTAATGCAGAATTTCAGTTCTGCATTTAACTGCATTACCCTATTGCAGTTTTACCTATTTACCAATTTTCTCTTTTATTCTAAATGTATTAAATGTATTAAACATATTTGGTCTGATGTTTTCTTCCTTAGCTTTGCACTGGAGCCCATGCGTCAAAGACAAGGCCTGCGGCCAGATCCGGCCCACGACTCAAGTCAAGTCAAGTCAATCCTATCCAGCCCGCAAAAGTATTTTAATTTTCTATCAATATTAGTTTCACGATGCGCTGCACTACAGTCCACAGCATGCACTGCAACTTAAAGTGTGTGCAGTCTCTACTACCCCAACAACATCTATGGGACAGCAGTTACACCTCAGTTCTACATAATTGTACACCAGTCATATCACCAAACACACTAGCTGCATTTCAGCTGCAGTTCAACCAGCATAAACACCTAACGTCAGCTCAGCAGCTCAGAAACTGAACCCAAGAATTAATGAACTTGCAGTAAAGAAAGGATGCCAGGCGTCTAGTTTAAGTAAATAGGTAAGTTTAAAAGACTGAGCTCCTGGGGACATTTAAATTTTGAATATTTCAAGTATTCATGTAATATTTCAAGGTCTACTACAAGTGCCTATATTTTGCTGTTGACAATTTGACGTATTTGAATAAACAATGTCCAGTTCAGGTTATAGCAAAATGTCAATTAATAATGAAATGAAAACAAAGGCGTTCTCTGGCCCCATAGATTAGTTGAGGTTTTTTAATGTGGCTCTTTTAGTGGTTGAGTTTGGCACCCTTGCACTCTTAGTGATGAATATAATAAAGCTAAGAAGTATCCCACCAGTTAGCATCATGCACCCTGCAGGCCTAAATCATCAGGTATTTGACTCAAACCACCCTCAAACAGGCTTGCTTGTGTGGTTGTAGTACAGTCAAGCCAAATGTGACCTTGTAACAGCAGCATCTGGGGACAATGGGAGGAACACAGACTAATTATGATGTAAGCAAACTAAATTTTCTAAACCATTTTAATGCCTTGTGAAGGTGGAGCTCAATGTCTGTTGTTAGCCCATGGATGTAATGTATGTTAGCATGGCAGAAAACTCCAATTTAGCACGTAGCTGTGCGTTGCATGTGCAGAAAACACATTACACATTAAAAATAAACATTATATATTAAAGGGGAAAAACACTGTTAGTTAATGATTTTAGTGTTTTGTTAGCTACTTTGCTTTGCTGGTGTTATTGATTGTACTCTGAACATTAAAAAGAGCCTCCACTAGAGGACATGTTCCCAACCCTGGTCCTGGAGTACCTCCTGTCCTGCACATTCCTGTCCTGTCTTCCTGCTCCTACGCACCCACATTAACTCAAGAAGAGCTTTGTCAAGAGCTGATTAAGCCGCGGTTATACTACATGACTTTTACCCGGATTTTAGCCCTGATTCTCAGTCTGGCCGAGTCCGTGCTAGTTAGCTCTAGTCTGCAGATTTTTGGCTCAGTCAGAGTTGACAGTTGGAGAGAAAGTCGAGTATTGTGTGAGGGGCGCAGACTCAGATTTTTGGCCTTCCAATCACGTTTCAGACCAGTCGGAGTTTATCAAACAAACATCGAGTTCATGTACATTTAAAACTAAAAAATACCAAACTGGTCACATTTTTAAATCCAAAAGCCTCAATTAAAGTTTACGTGCTGCTTTTTTACTGTGTCAGCGCAAACAGTGGAGGAAACAGTAGCAGTAGCGAGCCGCTCCACTTTTGTTTATTTCCATCTACAAATAACGGGAGAATGCAAGAGTTCATGTGAGTTTGCGAGAGTTTGCGCAAGTTTAGTTCAACAACAGCCTAAAAGTTGAGTAGTGTGTGATCCCTATTCATTTAGTATGTGATTGCTAATATTTTAGTTGCCCAAAAAAATCTGTGAAAACCAGTTGGACAGTGCGAGATGCCCATGCTTTTATAATCTGTTAAGACTTCAAAAGTCGTGTAGTGTACCTAAGGCTTTAGTTGGATCAGGTGTGTTAAGAGCAGAGACAACAGCAAAATGCACAGAGCAGGGGGTGCCCCAGGACTCCAGGAATTCAGCACCAAAAGTAGAAAGTTGTCCCCAAATGTGTATTCTCGCTACAAGATCACATCTGGTCCCACAAGACTAGGGTGCTTACTGACACTGCATGCCATAAAATTATCCATAAAATGGGTACAAGTATGTTGCATAGCTGAAAGCAGTAGCAGCATCCATCGTAAAGCCTGAATTGAATCTGTCCCTTTGTCATTTTTTGTGGACAACAGACATTACTTGTAACTACATTAGCCATTAGTTCTTGTGCATAACTAAAGAAGCAAAATTCAGACACCAAACATGTCCTGGCTAATCAACTATGATGGACATAAAGGGAAAACTGTGTATATTTAATTCTAAAACTACCACTTGAAGGTAAAGTCTATGAATAAGGGTTAAACCTCTCTTTCTTAGTCTACGCCACTGAAGTAGACTAATCACAGATGCCCATTAAAGAAGGCTTCAGAGAATTCACAGCAAGCCCACCCACTCACCTTCGGGTTCTCTACAGGCTCTGCGTTCTGCGCTTCTCTCCTCCTCTGCTCCTGCATGATGATCTCTTTCAAGTACTCGTTCACCTTTCAGATGGAAGAATAACAGCGAACAGCTTTCAATACAGCATTCAACCACAGAAATAAAAGCATGGACTAACACTTTCCTATTCACCAAGTGAAAATGTACATGAAAAACCTGGTAGAAAAGTTAGAAATTTGAAAAAACAGCTAAAATGTCACAAAGTTGGTTTATGAATAAAAGAGAAATGTGGAAAACAGAGATTGGAAACATTTTTCAAATAAATTAAGACACAGAGGGAACAAAAGTCATGTGTTTGGTATGTTGTCCTATCAGAACTGTTTACAATGGCGATGTTCGCAGGGGTTCAGGTAACTGCATAGAGGGACAGTAACTTCAGCCTTCAATAAATGGGCCACTGGCTGCTCCACTCCACACAGCTTCTCTGAACTGTTAGGGCTGACAAAACTGCTCCACTGAGAGCTAGTAAAGGTGCACATACTTTCACTGTATGCACCACACACAGCAAGCGAGTGTTGTATGTCGTACACTGATTGTCACAAGCCTGTCTGTCATCTTCAGGAATTTAGGCATAATCATACCAGATGGAAACAATATTTAACTTGCACTTTCTTTCACCAACTTTTTGGAAATTCTTTTAAAGCTGCACCATGTAAGATTTAGGGATTTGGAGACCCCTCTAGTGGCAATATGTAATTGCAGACAACCTGCAAAAGAAAACATTTTGTGCTTCAGAACACTTCCCTGAGTGTTTAATGAAAATTCAAAGAGAACTGTCAAAACTTGGCAAATGATGAGTCGTCTGAGGATTTGAGTGAATTATCTACTATTGTCATCATATCTTCATCAGTGTAATGTTGATTTTGCATTTGAGACCTAAATATTGAACCTTCTTTTTGAGCCTGTAAGTGTGACGTTACTACATAAGGACGTATAACATGGCCTGAAAAACTCCCAACCCGACGCCTTTGACTTTTATGTTATTATTTCAGGCTTTTCAGGGTGACTTGCAGCTACGTTTTAATGGAAATCCAGCTACTGACTAGGTGAACCATTTTATATTTATCATAAATAAAAACCCTATATTAAGTCTGACTCACATTTTGCCGACAGAGCATTTAGTGCTTTAAACTCTGACTTGCAATCAGCATCTGATAAAAAAATTAACTGGGTTTTACTCATTAGTGTAATAACAACAATGTTCTCATGCTGGAATCTTGTTTTAATGCAGTCTAAATGACACTGTGCGTGTGAGTGTGTGTGTGTTCTGTGGTTGGCTTTCGGCAGCACAGTTGACCTACGAGGGAATGTAAACAGTCCAAGTTTGGGCCCATAAGGGACGTCCCTTAGGCAAGTCACAGAGATGCCAACTCAGATGGCAAACGCCAACTAATAGACACTCTTAGTGTATTCCAAACAATAGAAGCCCTATAAAGGAAGTGCTTTAAAGTGATGGTTCTGCCAAAAATGTAATTTACACCGTTTTCCCACTTTCCTCAAATATAGTGACTTATGTGGTTTCCAACACTGTTTGACTTGTTATCTATACAAAAATGACAGAAGTGCACCGCATAGCTAAAAACAGTAACATAGCCATCTTGACGTCTGAATTGTGTCGGCACTTTTAGCTATTTTCATATACAATACAGTGAGAAACCACAAAACAAAGTCTATTTTAGATTACTTAACAACTCAACACAGTTTGAAACAAATGTGTGTTCATTTCGGCTGAGCTATACAAAATGATGCCTTGGTAAATGAAATCATCTTAAAGGGGAATTCCACAGATTTTTTTTTAATTTCTGCAAAATTAAATCATTAAGATGGAAACTAAATTATTCAGAGTGGTATGATGTCAAATGCTCCATTGTAGAGAAACATACAGAGTCAGTATTGCTCATCAGTGGTGAGAGGAACCACACGTCTGAAGAGTTTAATGCCTCAGACATTGTTTTAGGATAATTTTGACATAATCTTTTGGGATAAAATGTATTTTTTTAATCTATTCATTGTGGAGGGGTACATGCAGGGTATTTTAAGGCAAATAGCCCCCAAAGAAAACTTTTTTTTTTCAGATTTATCACTATTTTACCATTACTAACCTTACATATAAAACTCAGAAAACGCATAGGTTCACTGGTCATTATGGATATTAAATAAAATAGCTAGATTTGGGTTGTAGACATCATGACCCCTGGTTCCTATCACCACAACTGTGAAGAAAGTAGAGTCAGTAAGTTTCTATACAATTAACCATTTCACATCAAACCACTGAGTGACTTTGTTTACACCTCAACAGCCGAATAATGCAGACATTTTGAAACATGGGTGGCATTCCCCTTTAAATCTAGTCAATGTATGTAATATTTCTCATTCTGAGATTGCTGTAAGAATATAATAAGACAATTTAATGAGATAATTTGATGAGATTACTTATTTAGAATTATTCCTAGACATTTCTTATTGCTTTAAATCATTTTGTGTCATATACAGAATATGATTATTACTTAAAACATCTAGAAATAAGATGAATAGTCTTATAAACTCTTACAACAATCTCAAAATGATAAACATTAGATACACGGACTAAATTTAAGATTTACTTACGAAGATAAAGGTTTTGCATCAAAAAACATAAGTTTCTCCTTCTTGTTAGCTATGTTAGCCTTGTAATTTAGTGCAAAACTAAAAAAGCAAACTTTACTGTCTAAATTATATTTTTGGTGAAACCATGGCTTTAAAGAAAGAGAGAAAAATCAACTTTTTGGTGTCCAAATGTGGCTTCTTTAGTTTAGCGCCGGAACACAGGGCTAACCCTGCTAACAAACACTAAAAGTCAATAGTCACCCGAATGTTGTCCTGTGTGCAGTGTTTGAGCGTGTTGAGAAGTTTTGGGGGTATATTTACAAAAAAGATTGAGTGACTATTGACTTCTAGTGTTTGTTAGCAATGTTAGCCCTGTTAGCCTCCAGAGCTTAACTAAAGAAGCAAAATTTGGACACCAGACTTGTCTTGGCTCATTGACTACATCTGGGTAAGTGGGAAATTGCATAAATTTGATTTTTCACTGAATCGTACCAATAATGTGGATGATATTATGAAAATGGCAATGATCAATTGTGCACCACAGTAGATCAGCTAACAGTGCAATCTTCATGAAAGCACTCTTATTCTCAATCACTCTGACTCAAGTTGGCCCATGTTGGTCAAGACTGACTTTTTATGATGTAATGACTACAGTTGAGAAAGAGACAATACAGTAGTTGAGAACAGTCCATACATGCAGTCCAGAATTACAGTGATCATATCTAGATGTTGGCTGTGACTACCTTATTCATCCAGCTGGTAACCGCATCCTCTGTGTCGTACGGTACATCTCCTTCTGCGTAGTCTGTGGAATACTGCTGCATACACGCCACCACCTTCTCCACACTCACCGTCTCCACCGTGTAGGCCATCATCAGGGTGTCAATCATTGCCAGGTGGGCGCTCTGCAACCATTCACCAAAAATGACATATCAGAAAAGATCTCTCATTGATCACAAAGCCAACAAGCCCCACCCATCGCTCATTGCATCTCATATATTTGCTGTCACTTCAGTTGGCCAACCCTCCCGCGATGGTTGCCCTGGAAACAGCTGCGTCCATCCCCTGTTGCTCGACCCAATTAGAGATAATCGTCTCTGAGAAAGGGCTGTGGCTCCTACTGCTTGTGCTTGGGGGCCATCTATTCATTCTCCACAATGCAGTTTGTGTGTCACACTGCATCTCATAAAGTCACATTCAAATGAGGACTGAGAATTCACAGACATTAAGGGGATTGAATATAAAAAAAGAAAACAAAAGGCTAATGATAACTGAGTTTATTACAGAGCTAATGGGAGATTTTACAAGAAGCAAAGGTCCAATGTGTTCGCATCAGACCAAAGTACTTATCCTTTTACAGGAGTTATTCAGTAAAGCACCTTATCAAATGCAGAACTCATCAGTCTCATCAGGTAGATAAAAAAAAATGCGCTAGATTTGACGATACTGTACGAGCTGATCATGAAAGCAGCCACTGCAATCTTCATTACCCCACCTTAAATATACAGGACACTCTTATTCAGTTTTTAGATGTAGCGCTTTCCTCTGTAAAAATATCTTAGCGAGTGAAATGATCTCATATGAAGGCAATAAATCATTTTTTTTCTCTAAACAAATTGCTTGTGTTACAAAGCTATGTGTGTGATTATTTTTTTATTTTAAGAATTAATATCTTTATCAGCACTATCAGTACTTATCAGCATTTACCTGATTTTAAGACATTTCTGGCACAAAACAAGCACAAAGAGTCACATCAGTTCAATTACTGATTATATTGTCAAGGCTTTATCACGTTTTAAGAAATAGGCTCCTCATTATCTCACTTTAAATTGGATGTAAATGCTTAAATTAAGCAAAGCAAATGCCAATGAGGTAAGCAAAACGTACTTCGTAAGATTTAATAATATTCTGATTCCATGCACACAGTGACTTGATTTTAGGTAAGAACAGAATCTATGCACACACAAGAGCAAAAAGGTGTGAACAATTCTGCGGTTTAAGATCACATCATGAATCTGATGTAGACTTTTTCTTAGAACCTTTCTTAAAAACAAATTTGAGAAAAAACATCTTCTCAAAACAGCTGTAAAACTGTCTCAGGCATCAGGCAGTGTATTTATAATCATGTCATGTAATAACATTCTTTAGACATTAAACTCTTCAGACGTCTGGTTCCTATCACCACCTTACTTCTATCACCAACTTTACCACTGAATTATGCAGAAATTTAGAAAAATCAGTGGAATTCCTCTTTAAATGTAGATATAAGAGATGTAACAACATTACACAAACATTGTGGAATTGCAATGTAATGTGCATGATGGAGATCCGACAATTCATAGTAGAGAATGGACGTTCTAATGTGATCGCATTGTTTAAACAACAAAGTCTGCAAATGATCAGCACCATCTATAGTTCACTCCAGTACTCCTTTCTCACAGCTCTAGTGGCATTATAAAGTAACATGATTACAGTCAGAATTTCTCTTCATTCAAATTTTGCTCAAAATGTTGTGAGAATACCAAATTGTGAACCCAGTACCGTTAATCCAGTTGAAACATGGGCTGACTATATCGTTACGCCCCTACTAGCTACTGTTTTGCTAGTTTCGTCCATTGCAACTTGCTCACAAACCTCAGAAAACCTAAATATCACGATATTGTGTATCGTGAAAATGTCTTCAAGTATTGTTAAGCTACATTTTTGCTCACCCACCCTGATCTGTGGGCCTCTGATTCAACATTTCCATCTCCAGGCTTAAAGGGCCATAGTCCAGCAAAGTCAGGTGGTTTTCCTGCTCGAATGGACCTCATTTACCTCAGCATTTACCATATTTTGTGAGTCAGGGAAGGAGAAATCCCCAAACTGTGCTGACTCCCCAGAACCGGAAATGCCAGCTAATGCTAATGGTACCCACTCTAATAACATTGTGGCCTGAGTAGTGGTTTGATAAGATGTGGCTGTAACCTGCCAGCCCGTTGCCCCAGCACTTCCATGAGAGGCGTAAATCTCTTATAACATCTAATAACATGCTCATGTGCCCTTGACGTTGCCCTCAATTTATCAATTCAAATGAGGAGGCACAACAACCCATTACCTCTCTCCACAGCCATCATTACCGCTGGGTACACACCAAAAAAAATTAACACACCCCTCCTCCAGCACTCACACCACAAATTAAAAACGTGTCTATCCTCTCAGTGGCCCAGCGGGTACAGACAGACACAAGGCTGAACGAAGCTCGTTAAGAGGATATTGATTCTGTTTTGCTAAAAGCATGCTGAGGCTAAATGAAAAGAGATAAGTCTTGTTTAGTACACAGTACTGTGGTCTTCTGCTGAGGAGTGATTTATAGGAAGGCGCTGCTCTGAGAAAGGCACGTGAGTATGTGATGTACACAGCCGAGTATGATGTCAATAGTGTTGTGTTATGTGCTGATCTGACACCAGGTCAACTCAGCTGGCAAGTCAGCGGTTACTTGCTTTTGCACAAATTAACATCACAGTATTGCTGGATTTCTCCCAGAAGATCTCACTGAGAGGATCAGTAGGCTATTAAACATTTTTTATTAAAGAAGATCAGTAGGCTATTGAAGAGACACAAAATAAAAGGGACAGAATCAAGTATCAGATGTTAAGAACTTCTAAAACATTTAAGGTCACATAAGAATGAATGTTAAAGTGACAGTTCAGTACCCTAAATCTAGCCGAGCAGCCAAGACATGTTTTGTATCCGAATTTAGCTTCTTCAGTTTAGCACTGGACCGACAAGGCAAATGTAGCTACCAAGTAATAAAAGCTTATAACACATAAATTTGCACCAGGCAAACTGTATGACAGAGGGGAGCCCTCATGGCCTTCTAGGCCTTCAGAGAAGGCCTAATGATTTCTGGGAACTAAAAAAAAACTGTTCTTGTTTACGATGTAAAATATTATTCACTATTATCAACATTACATATCGCTGCTGTCAGAACGCAACCTTGTATCTCCAAAAGAAACAAAAAGAAACAGCCCAAAATGGCTGGTTACACTGACTTACATTAAAAGTAAAGCATGTTTTTTTTTCTTTCTCCTGTAAAATTACCATTTTGGAGATAAGAGGTTTTGTTCCGACAGCAGCGATATATATATATATATGTCTGTCACAAGCTTCAAGTAAACTTGTGACATGTAAAAAGTCTTTAGCTTAGTCCTAACAAACTACTAGAATCCCATAGAAATGCTAACAGAAATTATAATTACCATAGAGGTGTGTTTTTCTCTCATGTTTTGATATTTAGGGCCCAAATTAAGGCTCCAATTCTCACGATTCGCCACTGCTGCATGATGTAGTGTTATATGTAAAAATGAACAAAAATGTGGACAAAATTCACACTTCAAGACACATCAAGTTACTACGGATGGGAAACAGGACGATATTTATCTTCACTGTGAAAAATAATGTGACATATAACAATATGCTATACTAAGCCTATCAAGGACATTGTCAGTAAGAGGGCATAACTGGTCCTGTTTAATTGATTTTAGTGCAGTTCAGTATTTGAAATGTTGCATAACAAACACAGTATTTATGTTTTTTTATTGATTGAATATTTTTAAAAAATATGGTGCTGCTGGTTATTCTGTATTTCAACTTGTCAAACTTCAAAACTACATATTGCGATGCATATTGTGTATTTTTAGCCATGCAAAATATGTATGTATGTGCAATTTTATAGATAACATTATATCACACAGTGCCAAACCACTAAAATAAGCCTTTTTGAGATTACTTAATGACTACATGCCATCTGAGGCATGTCATGATTTATTTCGTTTCCACTGGTGGGTTTCATTACTTGTTAGCTACGTTATCTCCAGCGCAAAACTCAAGACTGAATCCCAAATATGACTTGGCTGACTATATTTGGGGTATTTTTGCTAAAATAATCACTTCACACACAGCCTATCAAATCTCAGTACAGATGTTACTATAATGATTCTACAATCTTTAACACACAGCTTTAGCACAACTGTCGTGGCTGAGACAGTCAGGGTTTAGCCTTCCAGCTAAAATCTGCGCGGTGTCTCTAACAAGCAGCTCCAGATTCCCGAGCTCAGCTTCTGCCACATCAAACTTGCATGAGTGAAGCTGGAAGAAGGAACAACACAGAGACATTGCAGTGCCTTAACGTCCTCTACACGCTCAGTGCTTCCTCACATACGACTCGGACCGTCCAGTGATCACACCACAGCCCTGCATAAGCCGTGACATTCTTGCATGTTTTATCAGAGTGAAAAGAAGACACTGGCTTATGCAACAGTGCTGGCTTCTCACTTAAGCTGATTACACACACACACAAATCAGTGTCCTGATTAAACACACTACAGCTCAGAAGCGCTTACAATGACCTGTGTGAATTTTCCGGGCTAAAAGTGCAGTTCTATCATCAGAAGGTTTAGCAATGTTTCTGTTATACTATTTAGAATCAGAAAATCAGAATGACTTAATTTCGCCAAGTATATTACATATATAAGGAATCTGTCTTGGTGAGTGTACATATGTATAACATGCAAAATACTAAACCAGACAAGCAACTGACTGTTAACAAGTATTTAGCTAAGGGAAAATTAAAATAAAATACAATAAATAGAACAAAGAACAAAAAATAATGAGTAATAAAAGAGCCACAGAGGAGCTAAAGAGAAATGTGAACATCTGCACATACGCAGATGAGAATACCTATACATAAGAAGGTCTGATTACATATACTATAAAAACTATTACATATAGAATCTTACAGATTGATATGAATATTTGCAGAAATTTAACTGTACAGATGTTACATTTCTGCAAACATTCATATATAAATACACACAAATAAACACAGTCTGTTGCTTGTCTGGTCTGTTTAGTATGTTTACTA